CTGATGGCAATGATACCAGGACTCAAATAAAATGAAATCAAGTTGTATTCAAAGCAGCTGTGTGATACTCCAGATTCAGTGCAGCTATCGTCACGTTTGTTTTGCAAGTAAACAGTAGGTCTGTAATGAAGTTACAAGCTACCCAGCAGACCTGTGTCTGCCTTTTGCTGTTATAAACCTGCACTGGTATTTTGGGCTTAGCAGTTAATCTCATAATGGGTCAACGACAGTATTTCCACTAATTACATACTATGGATAGGATGCTAGACTATCCCTACGCTTGGGGTGCTAGGTAAAGGTCAAGTGAAAAAACTTTTGAGTTATATAAAGTGAACTTGATATCTTTTACTTCCAGTATCTGTTCATTTTCCTTCGGCATTAGTGAGGGTTCTCCAGAGAAACAGAACCAATATGTAGATATATATGAGGAGATGATAGGAATTGGCTCATGTGGTTGTGGAGGATTCGAGGCCCCACAATCTGCTGTCTGCAAGCTGGAGAAGCTGGTGGCATAATTCTGTGTGAGTTTAAAGCCCTGAAAACCAGGACAGTGACAGTGGAACTGCCAGAGCCCGGAGGCCTGAGAACCGGGAGCTCCGATGTCCAGGGCAGGAAAAGATGGCTGTTTCAGCTCAAGAGGAGAGAGAACTGGCCCTCAGTAGATTGGATGATGCCTGCCCACATTGGTAAGGGCAATCTCTCTACTCAGTCTTCATTCAAATGCTAATCTATTCTGGAAACACCCTCACAGCTCTGAAATAATGTTTTACCAGCTGTCTGGGCATCCCTTAGCCTGCCAAAGTCGACACAGAAAATGAACCATCACACCTTCCAATGGATTAAAGAGATTTTGTGCCCTAAGGAAAATGACAGTGAGACCACCTGTCTCCTCCTCAGCTTGCCTTCCGGACTCCACCTCTGCTCTGGACTCACAGAGGGACTGAAACCGTTTCTGTCCTCTGGGGCTTACAGACTAGTTAAGAGGATTCTATCTTAACCTCTTGCTAAGTCCTGGTTTCAGTAACAGAGGCAATAGATTTTTCAAAGCACCGATCAGCAGTAAGACCATCCAATGCTCACTAGAATCTCTCAAAATATGACAGCTTTCACCATTGAGAGTTCTGTGGTTTGCCGCTTGGGATGTTAGAGGAGTACCACAAATCCCTACTAAACCACAGTCCAAGACAAACACTTACATCATGAATAGCACCTCTAATTACTACCCAACCACAACACATTATGGTTCTGGTTTTTCAGTGACATAAGGGAGTGGTGCATGTCAGAAAACTGAGTTGTTCTCTTTATTCCAGTGTGCGCTGGTTTGCCCTCTCTCGGAGATCACTAGAGCATATCCTTTGAGAGGGTGTGGGAGGTAGTTAGACGTGAGCAGAGCAAGAATGATGGGCCAAGTACAGAAGGGCACCAGGACGGAAAGCCCCAGGTGCCTAGCAACAGGCAAAACTGGAAAACAAGGCCCTCTCCCCCAGGGTAACCTTTCTCACCCCAGCATTTCGCTGGTTTCATGCGTTTAGGACCTCCCCTGACCTGTCCCCCACTGGCATGCGGGTTAGTCCCCTTAGAGGGGCAACTGACAAAGGGGCCTGAAAAGAGCCCGCAAGCATTAAGCCCCCACAGAAATGAGGTTCTGACCTGCATCAAGTACAGTGAGGCCTCAGCTGTGTCTCAGCTCCAGGTCCAGAAAAGCAGCAAAACCAAACGAGGGAAGCCATGGCTGACGTTAGGACCAGCTTCATTGACTAATGATCCCCAGCCCTGGTGCTGACCCATCAGTAGAGATCACGACCTTGAAGGACACGAAGGACACGCCTGGAAAGCTGATGAATATTCTATTGGAATCCTCTCCCGAGACCTCCGGGATAAATACCCTCAAGCCAGAGGACCCAGTTCAGCTCCTTCTATGGAGTGCACCTGTGCCTGTCCCCGCCCCTCCCCCCAGGTGTTTTCCTGGTTTCTCCTAAGCTCCAAGGACCTTTTTTTTTTTGCTTTTGTAACGGGTTTCCTGAGCCCATTTCTTCTATAGCTTACTTCTACCGCTCACTTCTTCTACCTCTGTGACTTTCTAAAATAACTTTCTCTTATAGTTTGAGTCTTGGCTCTGAATTCTTTTTTTTATTTTCAATTTTTTAAAAATTGATTAAGGTATTATATATGTGTCCATATCCCCCCATTACCCCCTCCCCCCGCCCCACCTGAATTATTTCTTAGCCAGAACTTAAGTACCGAGGTTGCTGGACCGAGGTCTGGTCTGACTCCACTTGTCTGACAATGGTGTCGTTTTCACCACCAACAAAGGGAAGTTGAGTTTGCCACCCCACAATATGCCTTTTGGGATATTGATTATTTTAAGTTGGTTATTTTTAAGAAACAAAAACCTAAAAGAACCTTCCCCCTTACCTGCCTAAAGGAATTCAGATAGAAACCCACCTCAATGGGACATCTCAGCTTAACCTGAACGAGTGGTGCAGACAGGAAGGAATCCAGCAGCTGTTTGACAGACTCCGCCTCTGTGCCCATTGTTTCCCAGTGGCCCCAGCAAGAGTTTGTTTACCAAACATTTGCTCTTTCTCTCTGTAAACTGTCTACTTTCCCTTTGAAGTCCCAGACTGCTGCCTTCCTCTCCTTAGTCCAGAACAGTGTATAAGCTTCAACTGCCCAATTTGCCTTGGTGTCCCCTATCCTTAGGGAACCACCAAAGGAAAATTATTTTTCTTCCCTCATAGTAGCTAGAGTTCTCCTAAAGTCTGTTTTGCCTTTTTACATCCAAGGGGCTAAAAAGTAGAGTTCAGGGGAGCATGGACCCTCTGTACCTTCAGACCAAAGGCCATTTTTGTAACAGTGGAAACATGAGAAACATTTATCAAAACAGGAGTAAGCTATGTAAAGATCAAGTTATTGTTTCAATTGGGAAGTGGAGGAAGCTGGACAAGGATAGCAAAATGTATCACCCCAAAATATGCCTCTTAGCCAAGTCTTACCTTTAGCTGATTATTCTGAAACTACAAATACAGGAGAAGCTCGGAGGACAGAGTAGAAGTCACCCTTTTGTAAGGGCACTTACCTTAGGAAGGGGGCCTCTTCCAGGAAGAGAGCTATTATGAGACCACGGTTTCAACGGGGAGACAACCACATGGCAGGGCAGCCTTGGTTTCCTCTCCTGACCTCCCACGACTGCCCCTCCCGCTGTCCCCCAAGTAGCTTTTTGGTCTAGTAGAAGATAGTGCTGAAGGTGGCAACGTGGGCAGTTTCTCTGTTTTCCTGGGTAGCTCCTATGTACATGTGGCATACAGGTTAATAAACTTCTATGTGTTTTCTGCTGCTAATGTGTTTTTGTTTTTGTAGGGGATCTCAGCCTAGAACTCAGAAGGGTAGAAGGACAATTGTTTCTCCTCCCTGCATCGATCAGGAGCCCTAGCTCAGGGTTATAAGGAACAACTGTCCCTGGTTTGGGAAATGGCTCCACCCTCCTGGAAGAGGCACAGTCTCCATGCCTACACTGGCTTCTTGTTCATGCTCCTCCTCTTCGAATGCTTTCTCCTCTGGGTCACCCATTCAGCAGCCATTGGTAATATCTTGAAAAATAACCTCATCTGTGGGCCAACAGAGAAAACAGTCAGTTTTCCTTGAGGGGGTTGGCAATACACAAAGATCTTGATTCATACAAATAACACTCAAGCAGTTCACTCACTGTTAGAATAAATTAACAAGCCCCTATTATTATTATTATTATTGTATATTTGTAATTGTTTTCAAGGACAGGGAGAGAGAGAGAGAGAGATAGAAACATCGATGAGAGAGAAACATCAATCTGCTGCCTCCTGCACCACCCGCTACTGGGAATTGAGCCCGAAACCTGGGCATGTGCCCTGGCCAGGAATCAAACCAGCAATCTCTGGGTGCATGGGTCTTCTACACTCAACCACTGGGCCACACCAGCCAGGCAACAAGCACCTTTTAGGAGGCTACAAAAGGTTAGCTTTTGTCTCCAGATATCTTTCCCTAATTTTGGCTTTTACCATATACCCACAAAAAGTCCTTTCTGCAGCATGAACTAGGAAGCCTAACCTACCTCCTACTATCCCTGGGCTCCTGTCCTTCAGCTAATACTGGCTGTAGGGGAAAGGGAGGTTTATTCTCAAGGTGAAACTTAACTGTTCATTTGATTCCTTTTAGGAAGTCTGTATTAAGGTTAATGCAACAATAACAACAACATAACACACCCACAAATCGATGAGACAATGAGCATTGTTTTTAAGTGTTTATGTTTTTGTCAAAAATATGTATAGCCTGAAACAATCACTAAAGTAGCAGATTCTACTTTTTAAAGTTTTGATTTTCCAAATTCTATTGGTTTAATACTGAAAGTTCATTTGTGCCAAGTGTGCAAAAGCTAGCCCACTTTCTCAATATTTGGTAATCCTTGTTGAAAATAAAGCCTGTTGAGTGAATGAACAGAATACGAAGTGTCAGGGAGGTTCCAACCAGAAAGTCTGAATTAGTTTTGTGGTGGAGACTGCTAAACTGTCCCTGGGAATCACTCTCCCTTTTAATAATAGAACCACTGCCCTCTCTACCCCAGGTTCTAATTGGGGACCTGGCTGCCTAGTTAGGGACCATATGTCCCAGCCTCTCTTGCAGCTAGCTCTGGCAAGTTTTGTTTGGTCAATGGATATAGGCAGAAGTGACATGTGTAACTTACAATGCTCGCCCTGGACTTCTTTCCCTCTTCCTGCTGGCCAGGAATCAGTGACAAGGACAGAGCCGGATCCCCGGAAAACCTTGGAGGTACTGAATTTGAGAAAAACATCTATCTTGTTTCAACCACAGGGTTTTGGATCTCTTGGTCACAGCAGCTTACTCTGTACCCTAATGCATACAACTGTAGGTGTATTCCTTCTTTCCCTGATAAGCCCCACCACGAACCTTCTCCACTAAATTGTTTGGATTTATTGAAACAACTAAAAAGCCAAATTAATGAATTCAGTAACATTTATTTTACATGAAACAATTTTCAAAGAATACATTTAAAAACCATCTAAATACTGATTTTATTGCATTACAAAAATTGAGAGGCACAATTGAAGTATTCAAATAAATTGTGAAGGGTAGAGGTGGGGGCCTAAGAATTGCTATTCACGATGTTCTTTAGTCACTTACAGGCTCTGGGTACAAGAGTCTTTACCATGAGGCACTAGTGCACGTCATTTAGTAGGAATAAATCACATAAAATATATACTTTTATACAGAAAGTGTTATTGTCACCTTCAATTACTTATAAAAACTTCATTTAAAATTGCACAAAAGTTCTCTTTAAAATTGATAACTCCCAGAAGACAGGGCTTAGAACTAAGTATCTGTCTAAATAATTCATTACAAATAATTAGGTCTCCATTTCTTCACAGATTAAAAAAAAATCTATGAAGAATTACATTATTCAAATGGGACACTTAAAATTTTTTCATAGGAAAATAGGTTTACACATTTGTCCCTCGTCAGCTAAATTCATTTCTCCCTACTTTAACACAAATCACAGAATGTCCAAAGTTTTAAATCAGAGTACCTATTCCACAGTATAATGTGGAAGTGTTTACATTAATTCGCTTTGTGTGTCGTTCGAGTATAGTATCAAATTATCAAAAAGGCACAATGGGTACATTCTTCGGAACAGTTTTGGTCTTAAAAAAAAAATCACACGTTTATGAGCAGTGATTCCAATCATGTTTAAAAACAAAAATATGAAACAGATTCATTTCCCGATCCAGGTGATACCGAATCCACGAAATTTCTGCAGGCACTTCACTTTCCATAGAATTTCTTGTTCAGCAGGTATATGAGAAGGTTGACATTCACTTTAACCTTATCAAACATTTTCATTACAGCGACTCCTTCATATTGCATCTCAAGTAAATCCTGAAATTTAAGGAACATCATTAAATCTCAAACTTGACGTTTAGCACATTTGAAAAACATTCCAGAACAACTTGTTGACAAAAATAAGATTCGAGTGACCTAATGACCTAGGTAGGGGATCTTCCACTTTAACGTGTGTTGGAATCATCTGGTTAAAACAGGGGCTAGTTAAAACATGTTGGGCCCCACACCCAGGAATTCCTGATTCTGTAGCTCTGGGGTGGGGCCCCAATATTTGCATTTTAACAAGTGCCTATTCATGATGATTATATTTTTGGCCCGGGTACCGGGTACCGTACTTTGAGAATCACTTACCTAAATGAAAGGAAATAGATTTTTAGAACTGATAAAGACCACTGGAAGAAAACCATTCTGATTAAGCTAATTCAGATATATAATTTTAATTTTTAATTAAAAAATTCGAAACAAATGTTCCAGCAAGATGGGGTATATCCTTTAGAACAACAGTGTTTTCTAAAGTGAACTGAGCAACACAATTCATTAAGGAGTAAAAAGAATATTAGAGAACTATTTATTTTGTTCACTTTCTAAACATTTAAATTTTGTATAAGTATAAAGTATATTTTTAGTATAGTGATAGATGCAAGTATACTTTATAAATAAATATGTACAAATGGGGTGAGATGATCATGCTATTTATTTTTGAAGCTGTATGATTGAAGTTTGGAGACCTGCTGTACAAAGTTAAATCCTTCTGACCCGGACTACTTCTGTTCCTATACTGAGAACAAGCCCTCATTCCCAAGTCAGTCTATCCTTCTGTGTTCCCCTGCCACCATATAACAAAGAAAATAAACTCACCTGCTAAAATTCATAACTGGGTCCCACCAGCCATATGCATGAGACTAAGCAGTAACATTTCAAAATACACAGGACAGGAGACCTTCGCCAAACAGAACTGCCCCAGACTAATACCCAGGTCTCGTTTTCTTATTTCTAGCTTTGGAAATTTCTTGGTTCTTAATGATAATGTCTTATGTCTAGTGCTGGAAATTTCTTTCTTAATGATAATGTCCTATGTCTAGCTCTGGAAATTTCTTGGTTCTTAATGAAAATGTCTTAAGGAAGGCCACCTGAAGAAGCTGAAATAATTTTTGAGAGAACTTGGCTCTTGTTAGCTTCCTCCTCTACTTCTTCAATTACCTCCAAATGCACTCAACTAAACCCTTGCATTATTTAAATATGCGTCTGAGACGGAAATTCCATAGGGAACTGAAGTTCTTTCATCAAGAATGCTTTTACCTACTAAAGTGTACTGGTGGTTCACTTTTCCTTTGGGAAAGGCAAAGTCTGTTCATCCAAATCTCTTAGAAAAGAAATCAATAGAATTAAGTTGAGAAGGAATGGCCAATGCAGGGGAATTAGCTGGGCCCCCCAGGTGGGGAGCAGAGAACATATAATCATTACACTTGCCATTGGAAGACCAGATTTTAGTCTTAGCTCCACCATTTGCTATCCTGTGATCTTGCAGTGTCACATAACCCCTGTTTCCTTGTGTGTAAACCAAGGGTAACACTCTTAACCTCACAGGAGAGTTACTGGGCATATGAGATCAAGGTATCTGCAAACCCTTTTCTTGTCAGGATCAGCTGGAACCTGTGAGAGAGGCAGTGGAGCAGAGCAATGAAGACCGTGGACTCCAGCTGCCTCTTCCCTAATCAGCTCTCTGCACCTCCGTTCTTCAACTGGGAAAGGGAGAATGCCAACCCTGCAGCCTCAGTAAGCACAGGCCATTATTTGTATAAGCAGAACATCTTCATGTAAATCTCACCCACCTGTTATGTATATAGCCTATAGCTATAGGATATAACCTTTAGGAACTAAGGGAAGAGTGGGCTGAAGTAAACCTAGACACAATGCTACACGGCATCTTCCTTGGACCTGTTAGAAACTTCTTTTTTTGTTAATCCTCACCTGAGGATATTTTTCCATTGATTTTGTGGAAGGGAGAGGGAGACACAGAGAGAGAAACATCGATGTGAGAGAGACACATCAATTGGTTGCCTCCTGCATGCACCCTGACTAGACCCGGGGGTTGAGACTGCAACTGAGGTAAGCACCCTTGACTGGAATTGAACCTGAGACCCTTCAGCCTTTGGATCGACGCTCTACCCACTGAGCCAAACCAGCTAGGGCTGTTAGAAACTTCTTGACTCAGAGTAAAGATCTGGCCATCATGTTTCTCTTGGTAATTCACTTGATAATGTAATTGTCTGAAAGCTATACCTATAAAGCTGACTTTATGTCTGACAGCTAATATATGTAGGGCCAGCTCCTTGGACATTCATCCTGTGCAGGGTTTCATCATCAGAAGGGCCTTGTACTTTAATGTGCTGCGGTCATCATCTTGAATTCTCAATAATTATAAAAATGAATATTATTTTCATTTTACATCGAGCCTTGGTCTTGATGATATGGTAATGACTTTAAAAATCTGGGGCTTATTAGCTAAGGAGTAACATTTCACAATTATGTGGATAAATGGATGGTATGAATAGCTGATCCCACTGCATACTAAATCCTTAACAAAATTTGGTATTTGCATCCGTGTTCAAAGGAAAAGGCACGGAATTTCTGAGGCCTTTCTAAACAGGGGTCTCTTGGTCACTTGGCATTCATCCGTCCAGTTGATATTGATTGGTCTTGGGTCCTTGCCTGCCTGGCAATCGCATGGTATGTATGCCATCTCTGGAGAAGAATCAGTAACCAAAGAGCATTCTTTTCTCTTCCCATATTTGTCAAAGTGTTACATGAAGTAACTCAAGACTTCCAGTTAAATTGTTAGATGGATACAGTTAGTGATATTTAAATTCAGTTAGAAAACAATACTGTTTATTTAAGTATACTTTTCATAATTACATAGTGTCTTTTATTTCTCTCTCTATACTCTAATTTACTCCATTATCTCACTGTTTTTATCATGCCCATTTAGCTCCCATTTTCGTTTTAAGTTACAAGAAGGCTAGATAGAAAAGAGGGCTCTGGTATCTGCTCCCTGGAGGGAGGTAATGTCAGGGCTCTCAGGGCTGGGCTGGGCAGGCAGTGAGGCTGGGACATACATCATGCCCAGGGGCTTGTCAAGATGATTCATGTAGAACACCTGAAAGCCATTTCATACAAGTAGTTTGGGACCCAGGTAAACAGGCGTCATTGCCATTTAAAAATTCTTATACAAAAAAGAAAACTCACTTATTTCTCTAAATTGATTCTGTGCTAAGAATTAAAAAGTTGGGAGCAGAAGAACTTAAATGTTTGGTTGTACCCTCCCTTCATTTTTGGAGGACGGTGACACATAGACTGGGTGTCTCAGTTCTATTCAAGTATATTTGGCTTAAATGTAGTTCTTACGAGAAAATAACAAGAACTCGGACTGCAAATATAATTTTTCTATTTATAGTGAACTGTTTTGCACAAAGTCGTTCATTCATATGATCCCAAACAAATGAATAGATTTAAGAAACATGTAAAAAACACTCCAGGGAGGAGGAGGGAGGAAGAAAGAGGGAGGAGGAAGGAGGAAGGAGGAGAAATGCAAATGGGAAAGCTCCAATCCTGGGCACACTCAGTCTTAGAAAGAAGTGCAAGTTCCTAACAAAAGGAAACTGTCCAGCCTCCACCTAATAGCTCCGAATGCTTTCATATTATTCTCTACACTTCAAAAAGGAAACATGGTTTTACCACCTAAAAGCATTTTAAATTCCAATAATTTGAAAAATCATAGCCTTTAAAAACTAATCAATGCATCCAAAGCTAATATTGGCTAATAAGGCTTACACTGGCCTTCTTTGCTGAAGTTCATTGTCATCGTGAAGAGGCAATTTCAGGGCTCACCCTCCGTTCTCAGAAATCCCAGCTTACCTGAATATTGAGCTGCACCTTTTCCATCTCCACGCCCAGGAATTTGGATTTGACATCGAAGATGCCCACGTCTTCAGTGGATAAGATATCAAATGTAACGTTTTTAAACCTAATGAAGAAAGGGACAGTCACATATGTGGAACTACAAATACACGCTTACAGCTGAAACACATTAACGGAATCCTCAGTTATCATTCTCAGTGAATGGTCTAAGTCATCCCAAACCTCCCATCCTTTCCCGGATTCTGCTCACTAAAACGATGCTTCATGGCTCTTGTTGAGGTAACTCACAGAGCACTGGAGTAGGTGTTTTATGACAAAAGAAATGCAAAATATGGTCCTTGCTCTTAAAGAGCATACATTATAGTTGGAAATAACAGGGGATTCACAGAATATGAGAGCTGAATATTGACTTATAGCACTGACAGGCTAGTTAAGTATTTCAGGGGGTAAATTTTATAAGAAGAAGCATTTTCTCTGAGTCAGTGCAGTCAGGAGGTTTGATGGGAGAAATGGAATAGAAGCCAGGCCCTGAAGGAAGGTGAGGAGTTAGGAGCAGTGAATCTGGCTTCCCTCAGACAAAGGACAAGGGAGTGATGGGGCATCAGGTTCATGGTCCCTTTATTTTTATTTTATTTTATTTATTTTATTTATTTTTACAGAGAGGAAGGGAGAGAGACAGAGAGTTAGAAACATCGATCAGCTGCCTCCTGCACATCTCCCACTGGGGATGTGCCTGCAACCCAGGCACATGCCCCTGACCGGAATCGAACCTGGGACCTTTCAGTCCGCAGGCCGACGCTCTATCCACTGAGCCAAACTGGTTTCGGCAATGGTTCCTTTATATTTTTGTTTTTAATTAAGTTTATTGGGGTGACATTGGTTAATAAAATTATGTAGGTTTCAAGTGTACAAGCCTATGACACATGACCTGTATACTGCACTGTGCCCACCACTCGAAGTCAAATCTCCTTCTGTTAACGTATGTTTGACCTCTTTACCCTTTACTACCTCCGGGATCCCTCTTTCCCTCTGATAACCGCCATACTGTCATCCGTGTCCATGCCTTTTTGTGTTTGTCTTGTTTGTTCATTTGGTGCTTTCCAGGTCCCTTTAAAACGGAAAACCTGATGGCACCTGAGGTGGGGATGCAGAGGGTGTGGTTTTCTCCTCCACGCCAAAGGCACCCCCTAATAGCATGGGGCTGGCGTGTCAGACCCAGGCGTTGGCACACAGTCCATGGCTTTGAAATTAGAAAGGCACTATTTTCCAATGGTAAATCATCTAATTTACCGAGACCAGAAGGCAGCCTTCATTCTCACTGCTATGACTCCGTTCTTTCGGAGGGATCAGGGAGGCTGGCAAACCCAGACACACTGGCCAGGCCATGGGAAACACAACCTGATAAGCCCTTCATACAACCCACCAGATGCTCAAGGCCGGCTGGGAAGACTCGAGACGACAATACACGTATCTCCCCATCACCTGTCATCAAGGGTAAGCCCTGACAGACCAAATGAAGCTCTCCTCAAAGGCCACAGGAACCCGAGGAATGTGAGTGAGATGTTAGGGGCGGTTAGAGGTGCGTGTTCTGTGCGGATTCCAGGTCACACTCACTGGTTGGTCTGCAGGTCGTCGATGCCCAGCAGCACACCCTTCTCATGCAGCTTCGCAGCCGTGTACCTCACTGGCTTCGCCCTCTTCATCCCCTTGGACTCTCCTTTCCCGTCCAGTTTAATTGACCGCCGAGAATTTCTAGCAAATGAAGAACAAGCCGTCTGTCATCATGATGGCAAACTCGGATGTTTCTGGCAATGCAATAACCATGCCCCAGGTGTACACCACTGTGCAGACCTGGCCCCCATGGCCCCGGATATGCAACTTTCTATTTTGTGATAGAAGGCGACAATTTTCCCCGTGCAGTAAAACCTCACTATGCACTGCTTAAGGGGAAACTATTTTCAAAGTGACGGAGTTTGAATTACAGACTAATATTTTTCATAAAACTTGCACTCTATTTTTCAGACATCTCGAAGCGGCCCTATTAAATCATTTGGCAAGCAGCGTTGGTACAATCACATGAACTGTGTATTCCTGAGTAAAGGTATCCCTAGGGCTGCTTTAATTCCTTCAACAAATACTCTGTAGCCAGCACTGTTCTAAGAGCTTTATAGATATTGCCTCACATTTACAAGATTAACATTTCCATAATGCTTTGAAATAAAATTCCTTTCTTATATGCTATTCCACTTAGCCCTGAGGCTGGCATTCCTCATTCACCTTTACATGAGACACCTGGGGCTCCAGAGAAGTTCATCGGACAGGTTCAAGATCACACAATGTGAGAATCAGAACCCAAATCCAGCTCACCTGGCTGCAGAGCTTGTAAAATGCCTTCAAGTAGTTTAGTCTGTAATTCAAACTAAAGTCTGACATAGTCTGCAATAAATATGTAAAGAAAACCTCTAACATTTCTTAAGTTTCTAAAACTTCTAATATTTCTACTGAATATTGACTTGACCAACTTTTTCCTCCCAGGGATAGAGTAAAAGTAATTTACAGGCCACAAGCAAATGAATTAAAACTCAGAACTAGTGGGGCCCACACGAGTGTGGCTCACATTTGGTTATTTCCCTTAATCAAGCTTCTAAGATTAATGGAATATATTTTTCCCTACAGAACCATTTCCTACTGTCAGGTTGACAACAAGCATTACACAAAAATACTGTATTATCTTTTTAAAAGGGTAATTAAAATTTTATTAAGTACTGACCTTAGTCTAACGATAAGAATAATTATGAACAAATAATACTCATTAAAAGTAGCTATAATGCATATCGAAAATCTATGCTATGTATGCTAATGGGTAACAGAGAACTGCCAAATTTTGTCTTTTGTATCAATAATGATTTTTTAAAACCTCTAAGCAATTTAAAATCATTAGGCTGCTATGCAATTAGCAAATATCTAGTGTTATCTAACATTACCAAGAGTATAAATTATTGTTTATTGTAAACATTCCAAAAAACAAGAGTAGGCTTTATTTTTTATAAAAGTGCTTAAAAGACATTTTTGACTAAAAAAGACAAAAGAAATAATGAAAGTTCTTCCCCAAGTGTTAAAGCTAAGCTACTTTAATTTCAGGTATAAAATTACGCTGATGGGGAATTACAACGTTTCTAAATTCAGTCCTGACTTCTTAGTTCACAGAGCCAATTCATAAAATTGAGATTCTAGTTTTTGGTTATAAAATAAAGCAAAAAGATGCTTCCAAACCCAACCCAACAGCCCAAGACTATAAAAGAACTGACATCCCATATAACTTATGACATTGCAAGTGAATATATGATTTTAACTTACTTTATTTTTAAGTTGTCTAAGCAAGTCTTTATGTAGGTGTCATAATAATTAACTTGCTCTTCATAAAATGCTGCCTTCTCGTTAAGTGCTTTCAAGGTCTGCTGAAGTTTGGCCAATTCAGCTTTTCGAAGCTTACGATAGATTCTTTGATTTCGAATATCCTAAAACAAGTAAAAGCTACGTGAGATTTAAGCAGAAGTGAGCTTTACAATCTTGCCAATTTGAGACAAGATGAGTATCAAGTATCAAACCGGAATTTGTGACTGTTAACTTGTTTATCTCAGTCACTTCATTGTAATCTCTCACACCCTCCCCTCTTCACTTCTGAACTGGCAAGTGCCATGTTTCACTTTAAGAGAGTTGCTAAGGTTTATTTTTTTCTAGATGGAAAAGCAAAGAAGCATTGGTTTCTCTCCTACACATTCTCAAAGAGAAATATTTCCCACCCAGAGCTACAGAAAGAAGCACTGCTTCCCTCGAGTCATCTGCTGGGAGAAAACAGCCGCTGCTAGAACTGACCATGATGTTCCACGGAAGCACGGAGCTGAGAGCACTTCCTTCCCAGAAGTAAGAAATGTTTTTCTCTGATCACGTAACTGCTCTTAACCTCTAGACCCATTTTAAAGAGCGTGTGTGGATAAAAAGAATGAAATGTCCTTTGAACCCAAATATCCTTTGAAACCATGTACTTTCTTATCCTCGGCAAACAGATCTCAGCCAGTTCCTGTGATGTTTCCTTGCACTAATTTGAGAGCCTCTGCTCAGGAAGTTTCTCAACTGTAAAAATACGGGATGAGAAAACAGAAGCTAACCTTTAAGTCAGAACTGCATTTAGAGGCACATTTTCAGGGATGTAAATTTACCACCTCAGTAGCAGGTCCTAAGAGCAATTGGGCAATAAGACAACTAACAACTCCAGAGAGAACTCTCCTAAAAGTGTCACCTTGAGACCAGTAGGTATTGCTTAGAAGATGAAACGTGTCTATTATTTTTCCGGAGCATTTATTTCCGGTATGTGTCAACTCTTATACTGCCTTGGGGGAATTATGATCATTATTAAAAGTCATCAACTGCTTTGAAACCTTTAACAATCTGTAATATTGACCATGGTGTACACAAGTATGAATCCCTCGTGTCACCTCTCAGATCGCTCAGAATGTGACCCATGGTTAGCAAATGTCTGTTAAGAAAGAATATTATTTCCAAAAACCTTGGCAATCTCATTGAGAATGTCCTGGTATTTATTTGTGGATGACATGTGTCCCATCTGTTCCAATGTCCGAAGATTCCTCTGGATTTTCCTCTTCTTCTGCTCAAGGGGCAGCTGTGCATCTTCCACCATAGACTGTCCATCCTTCATTTCTTCTGGAGCCTTGGAATCTTTAATTGCACGGCTCTCCATGTCCGTGGCATGAGCCGTTTCCTGAAAAGCGAAAAATATCAAGATGTTGCTTTTTCTCTGACTCCCTAATCCCACAGATTTAGAACCTGCACAAGGCAAGCGAATGTCAAAATGAAAGAAGTCCTCAAACCAAAGTCCAGAGACCAGATGTGTTCTTCATGGGTCTTGAGGTAGGTCTTTGGGAAGGAATTACTTCACCTTTTTGAGAAACATAGCAGTGGTGTCAGGCCTTTAAGGGACAAAGTCCAAATACTTTCCTGCTAGGGTGACAAATCACTCTCATCATGGACATAATACAATGGATAACTGATATTTGTAATTCCCTGGATGGAAGGATTTGAATTCCTGGATAGTCCAGTTGAAGAAATTAAAAATAAATTACCCATGAAAAAACAACAACACATGGCTGTGAGAACTCTGAACATGCAGAACTCAGCTAAACCCTCACGCATCAGCCCTACTTATGGAGATTCATAAGCCAAGAAGGCAATCAGAGACTGAGAGAATCATTCTCAAACTTCCATCTCTGAAAAAGTTACGGGCTTTCTTTGAACCAAAGGGAATGAAAATATTCTAGCAAGTGATAAGTTCCTAAATAAATGATAAGTAAATGAATGAATGTAATTTGGATAGTTTTAAAAAACAGTAATAAAAGGGACTGGTGATCTTTCTATTTCATTGTACTAGACAATTGATTGACAGAGTAGATAAAGTCTAAGGACACAGTGCACAGGCCACCATTATGGGCACAGGGACAATTTACCAGGCCAGCAGTAAACAGCAACAGTAGCAGTAGTAGCCAATGTTATTGAGCACTTAATATGTGCCAGATATTATTCTACCCTCTTAACATGTGTTAACTAATTTACTCCTGTCTGTGAATTGGTACTATTATTATTCTTCCCATTTTACAATTGAGGAAAGTGAGGCACGGAAATATTTCTAGGTGCTAGGATTACATAGCTAGGAGGTACAGAGCTATACTTGACCTTGGGAGTCTGTGTTCTTAGTGACTATGTTACATTTGGGAAAAAATGAAATATGAATAAGGACTAAAATTCTCATACTAAATTAGTAGGATGTTCTACCTACATTGCTTTAAAAAAATCCATACATTAACCAACATCAGATAACTTAATTTTATTTTATATTTTTAAAAACTGTGACAGAATGATTTCTTGGCAACCAATTTAATTAGGAATGACTCAGGAAGATTATGTGTAGTTCTTCTATGAAAGAACTAATTAAATAATTTTGTCAACGTTTGTTTAGGGAGTGACAATTATTAATACTAAAGCAACACTGAAATTAATTCAGAACTAACTAAACAACATCCATTTTATGTTTTTCTTTTTTAAGCCTCAACTGAGGATATGTTTATTGGCAGGGAGAGAGTGAGAGACAGAGAAAATAGGTAGGTCGGCTCCCATATGTGTCCCAACTAGGGATGGAACCCGAAACCTTTTTGGTGTGTGGGATGACACCAACTCAGCCACCCAGCCAGGGCACTGATGCATTTTAAAAGATGCTGGTAAAGATTTTAATGCAAGATTGTTATGACACTTCAGTTACTTACACCAGGATAATGGTACCATGACCCAACAGGCTCAACACATTTGCTTCTGAAGAATTCGAAGTTTTAATGTGAGACACTTCGTTTCTTCAAGTTAGCAAACATAAAATATGAAAGGTATTTGTCTACATCCTGTCGACCAGAACTATCTCTTAACTGACTTATCCGTCTAGCTACTGACTGATAAAGTTTATGATGAATATTCAGAAGCTTTGAAAAACCCAGAACTATCTTCCTAGTCCAGGACAAAATTACTTTCAGCCTAAATTCAGCGCTGCATTTTCTACTTCCTTGATTCTCCCTATGGATTTCCTATATAGCTGAACTCAGTTGGCCAGAGTAATAGATAAAAATTCCTTACTTCCAAATCATTGTAGATATAGTTGCTCTGAGACAGTTGTAAACACTTGGCATGAAGATTAATAAAATGAACTCATATCTATGGTACTTATTATTTTACACTCAAAGACCAATTACCTGTTGTGTAGTTGCGGGTGTCTCTAAGATTTCTGTCAATGTGTTTCCTGGTTGGTTCCGGATCACATCAATGATCAGTTTTTTGGTCCTTTCAAAACAGAGAGAGAAGAGACAGACTCAGACAGCAGCCCTAGGTACAGAAATCTGCTTCTCCGAGGGAGTGCACAACACATACAGAAATAAAGCTTCGAAGACAATCCCTTAAATAACACCGTCTCCCAGAAATTCACCACATCTGCTCTAAGGCTCCGGAAAGTTTGTGAGCGCCTGATAACCGAAGCCTGGGTTTCCTATGCCTGATACAGTAGGATTACACTGTCAGTAACATGGGCACAAGTATGCCGAACGATTCCTTATCTAAATATTTTTCCTTCTTTTTAGACTGAGGCTACTTTTTGTGGAGGAGGAGGAAAAAGTGCTGCTGATCTGGCTGCTACCATGGAGGGTGCGGGAATGACACCTAATATCCTCCTTTCCTGACTTGAATAACTTTAAAACTTCGGAGCCTGTTGAATACATTGCAGGACTTTAGAAGCCAGACCAAGGGCTACCTCTCCTGCTCTGAGAAAGTTCTGAAACGGTTGGAAGGCCAGTGTGAGCAGGCGCCCTGTGTGGGCTGTGGGGGGAGTAAGGGGGAGGCGCGGTTTGTCTGTTGGCCGACACAGCAACCGGGTGTTGAAGAACCTCTCATCTGGTGGAGGAGCTAACAGACTGGCTTGGGTCCTTGTCTTCAGGTGGTGGAGAATGGAAGAGCTGCTCAGTAAAAAGTTAAGAGCTAGAAAACTCCTCTGGAAGTGCCTTCTTTATGGTATTCGGCCACCCTGTCCTAATTAAAGTTCAGGTTATGTAGTTATGTACACAAATCTATAATAATAACAGCGTAATATGCTAATTAGACCGACGTCCTTCTGGACAACCTTCCGGATGAAGCCGCGGTGGTGGGGGCTGAGGCCGAGGCAGCCGCCGTGGCGGGTGGGGGCCCAGCCCCTTGCACGAATTTCGTGCACCGGGCCTCTAGTTTTAACATAAAAGGCAAATGGTCAAGTTGGCTCACTTTTCCCTAAGTGGGGACAGTGCTAGTGGATACAGCGTCCCTTCCAAACAAAGGAAGCAAGAGAAGTTGCCTGACGTTACAAACAGGTCTAGTCACTGTCTGAAATGTCACTTTTCGTGCGGTCCTGTGGTTGCATTGGACCTCAGTTCTTTCAAAGGCACTACATGGTCTCACTGGACGCTGAACTTCTCCTCAACTGCAGCAGGAAATGTTCACACAGCATGGACAATGGAAACGAAAACAAAACCACGTTCACCTTCCGAAGCATCGGGCAACTGCTCGCAAACGAGAGAGGAAACCCTCCAAGTTAATTCCAAACATGTTATTTTTGAAAATAGGGTAAAATCCAATAAGCCACCTGTAAACATCATTTTTCTCATTTCTGACTGATTGCAAGTCTGTCCGAGAAGAATGATCACAGCCATTTCCTCTGGCCCATGACCCTTCCCTGCTGGGGATTTATGGGCTGTCTGGGAGCGCGCAGATAAACACGCTGCCAGGAGTCAAAGGTGGGCACCCAGCTAATTATAGCCACGTGGGAGATGGCGCTGTTCCCGAGGCCGCTGTGGCTCCCCACACAACCCCTCCCCCAGTCATCATTATAAATGTCTGAAACAGGAACATCGGGTTAAAAATAAAACCTTTGGGTGATTTTAAAAACACGCACAGTGACATTTCTTATTTAAAGTAATATTCTAGGAACTACTTATGATATATGCTTCCAGGAAACTCCCAGCTCATCTCTGCAGAGAAGCTATCTATGACCGAAATGACTGGGGCCGCTCAAGTGTGCCCGCCAGGGCTAACAAATGTTTATTTGTCCAGGAGATGCTGGAAGATAAGCTGCCCATACAACCTCCCTTTCCTTGGACGCCTGCTGTATGTCAGGCCTGTGGAATCCACTGCCAAGTTCTAACCCTGGCATCTTACATGGAAGTAGCCATCCAGCTTCATGATGGGGACTCACTACCCCCCACCCCCCCCATATGCCTACTGGTTAAGAACATGGGGATCAGACAGATCTGGGGTCAAATTGGGGCTCCCGTGGCTCGTGTGCACTTGTGCGAATTATATTATCCCTATACTTAAAAAAACCCCTGATATCATGGGAACCTCCCTGAGAACTGATGCAAGGAGTAAATGAAGAGCTTATGTAAAGCCCTTCGTTCACTGGGGTCTGACATGTCGTAAGCACGAAAGCTGTGCTGCCCAACACGGCAGCCACTGGCCACCGGGGCACCCGAGCCCCTGACCTGTGGCAGGTCCAAACGGAGGCGCGTGCTGCCAGTGAGAGACATACACCGGGTTCTCGGGGCTTCGTATGAGAAAAGAATGTATTAACATTTTTTTACACTGATTACATATTGAAACAACACTTTTGTACATACTGGGTTAAAGCAGAATTAATTTCATCTGTTTTTTTTAAAAAATGTAGCTTCTGGAAAATTTAAAGTTAGTTGCGTGGCTCACATTCAATTTCTTTGGCGAGTGCAGCGTTGGAACGCTCCCTTCTTAAATGCGAAGCTCTCTGAGGCCTGCCTTCCCGTGATGTCCACTCCCTGGACCTGGTCAGTCTCAGAACTTCAGCACAAGGGGGCACCTTTAGGAAAGAGTCTAATCCCTGGTTTGACAAATAAGAGGGCCTAAGACCTAAGAGGGCCAGTGGTTACAAAGGTCACTCTGCTTCCGAGAGTTGCGGGGAAACAAGCTGAGCTCCCTTTCTTCACCCCTCCTCGACCCTCAGGGGGGTGCCAGGACTGTGTCCCCATCCCCTTTCCACCACTTTTCTTTTCCCAAGTGAAATCCCTCAGTTCCTTAAGCCCCTCACAACTGAATTTAAAGAGAGTTCATAGTTCTGCTCACATTTCAGTTTGCCAGTGAGCCAAAGACGTGTCCTGCTCCCCACCCCAATGCAAACACAATATTCTCGATATGGTCTGACCACATAAATCATCTGGTTAGCGTATTGGCCCCATGACTTCAAACAATATGTAAGACAGGCTGACAAAACCAAGGGCTCTGGCGCCCTATCTGAATGGGGAGGTATTAACTCTGAGGAAGAATTAGGGAAAAGAGAAAGAGAGAGAGAGGGGGGAGGGGGAGAGAAAGGGAGAGAGAGGAAGAGAGAGAGGGGAAGGAGAGAGACAGACACACACACACACACACACACACCCCCAGGCTGCTTATTCATCATAGCTGTGCTCACATCCCACTGTCGGTAAATGAGGCTACATGATGCTTGTAAACTGGCGTGGCCCCTTAGGTTTGGCCATTCCACTCATACAGCATCTGCTATTACACTCTGACCAGTAGCATTTCTGAGCCGCCCCTTCTGCCATCTGCCTTACAGTGTACCCAAGGCTGAAAAGAAATTTGTGTTGTGGAAGCTCAGGAGTATTTCCAGTTTAAAATTCTAATAATATGATTACACATTTGATCACCCAACTTCAAATATCACCTTAGCTATTTAAGCTCTCATACTAGTTTGGACAAAAAGCAAGGAAAGCTCTCAGTTGGGATGATGGATGCCTAAACGAAATCATGTGATAGGAAAAAATTCTTAAGAGATGACAACTTAAGCACTCATACAGCTAAGTATGATTAAAAAACCACAAATATTTCCTTCTACTTATACACATACTTTTGTAGAAAAAGAAGCTTAATAACAAAGGCCATACAGATCACATATTTTAAGATGAATTATAAATTATAATGAGATTTACAATTGGGTAGTTTTTTCTAATTTACGAGGTGTTAATGCATGACTTCATTTGCTCATCATAGCCCTTCCTCCCCCTCCCCCTCTTCTCTGATTGATGGCTGAGGACACTGAGGGTCAGGTGACTTGCTCTGAGTCCCATGGCTAATAAGTGACAGATTGAGGCTGTAATCCCAGGTTTTCCTAGGATTCCTCAACCAGGCCTCCCCCTCCCCCCCTGATTCTTTTACTATCACCATGCTTGGTAGCACTGACAAAATGGCAATCACCCAAACGGAAGCTCCCTATTCCATAGACACACAGAAAGGAGACAATAAAATGTTTCTTCCTGCTCCAATTACATGCCTTCATGTCCCTCACATCTGTCAGGAGTATTTCCAGTTTAAAATTCTCTCTTCTCTTTGGCCTGGAAAGATGCCCCAGCATCAGGTATGCAATAACTACTCTGCTATTGCTCTCAATATTTACGCTAAGATTCTTGAGAGTACAAAGAATGTAAAACCTGGTGACCAAGAAAATGGTCCCTGGAAGATTTAAGATCTTTTAAGTCTGAATCTATGATCCACTGACTAGCCACACTCCCTAGAAAAGGGTTTTTTTGTTTGTTCTGAGCCTAGTTTCCTCATCTGTAAAATATAGTTAATAACCTCTACTTCTTGGAGTTGTTGAGAGTATTACATGACATAAATGTCATTATATATGTTATTATGTATGCTATTATCTATCTATATCTCTATATATCTATAGGACAGTCCCTATACATGTTATTTGCTATCATTGTCATTTTCATCCTCATTTAATTAGTAAGAATTATGAAACTAGCATGGAATTAAATTTACAGGCATAAGGATGAACAACGCCTCAAATTCTGCTACTGTAGATACCCCCAAGAATACGAGTTTCTCATTACTGGAAAGCTAGTGATTTTGTAATTAATCATAAGAGGGCATTTCTAAAAGTGAAAAACACAACTCATTTAACAAGGAAGCAAAATAATTTTTGACAGAAAAAAGCCAGGTATTTTCATGTTCCAACTATTTACATTCCATGATTATAAACTTCATAGTAATTTCTGAAGGCATTGTCAGATTTTAGTTAAATTTGGTTCTCTAATGAAGAGTCTCAAAAACTACATTGTATGTTTGAGTTAGGAATTTGGCTTATTAGCTTGGAAAAATCATCCCCATAAACCAGCATTTCAAAGTGTATATTAATAGAACTTCAATGATCTGATATGAATTTAAAGCATGTCAGTGACTAGCTACTTGCTTTTTAGATTTTTAGACTTTAATTTCCTCACCTCAAAGATAAAGACTCAGACTAGATGGTCTCCAAGCTCCCTGTCATGACACATTTTATAATTATCTATTAGTAGCAAGATTTAAAAATATATACTTTAAGTATAATGTATTTGGAAGTAAGGCTTGCCTAACCTCTGGAGCTAACTCTATTGAATCTTTGGGCAATACCCAAATTCCACTTTCAGGGACAGCTAATTGGCCAATCTTCAAGTCAATATTCTCATTGATCACTGGGCTATTTAGTGAAGTATGCCAACAACAGGATCTTGAAGCGTGCCCACAGAAAGGCTCTCTAGACCCCAGAGGTCTATGAAAGCAGTGAATTATCAAGTCTATTAAGACACTGGCCCAACAGCCTTTTCTGTATAAATGGAAAAGATTCTATAATTCACATGGAATTGCAAAGAACCCAAGTAGCCAAAAGAATCTTGAAATAAAACCACTGGCTGGCTCTACTTAGCATGGATATTAAAGGGCAGACTATCTGTTTTCAGCACACAGTGGGCAGCTGGGAGGGAACCCCTCTAGGGCTGGGGCAAGCAGGACAAGGCCCAGGTTTCCCTGACTAAGACAGATGGGCCTGACTTTTTTAGTTTTGCTTTTAAAAATGTGAATTCCCCAAACTGGCAGAACCATGGGACTCACATTCAGAAATAAGCATAAGTACATATGATATTTAAATTATTTAATATTTTAGACTATCGAAACTGTGATTTACATTCATGAATGCAGGCATTTCACTGAGAGCATTTAGAAAATGATGTTCAAATAGCAGACAAAACCAATTATGAAAAAAAAGTCTTTGCATTATTTCTAAGCTCAAAGCTTATGAGATCATAGGATACTTGACCTAATTTAATTTGCATGGCGGGAACACACAATCTGTATTTCCAGTTCCCTTTCATTGGCACTTGCTCAGAGGAACCCAGGGAATAGACTGCACCATTTCCCCCCTTTGCTCTGTTGCTCTGCCCTGTGTTCTGGCTGCACAACTTTTTTTTTTAAATATATTTTCTTAAAATATATTTTATTGATTTTTTACAGAGAGGAAGGGAGAGAGATAGAGAGTTAGAAACATCGATCAGTTGCCTCCTGCACATCTCCTACTGGGGATGTGCCCGCAACCAAGGTACATGCCCTTGACCGGAATCGAACCTGGGACCCTTCAGTCCGCAGGCCGACGCTCTATCCACTGAGCCAAACCGGTTTGGCATGCACAACTTTTTTTAAAAAAAAATATATTTTATTGATTTTTTACAGAGAGGAAGGGAGAGGGACAGAGAGCCAGAAACATCGATCAGCTGCCTCCTGCACACCCCCCACTGGGGATGTGCCTGCAACCAAGGTACATGCCCTTGACTGGAATCAAACCCGGGACCCTTGAGTCTGCAGGCCGACGCTCCATCCACTGAGCCAACCAGTTAGGGCCTGGCTGCACAACTTTAATCTGCCTGGGTCATCAGTAGTCTAAAGGAACTGCACTCAGTTCGCTGAGGCCAAGGTTATGTATGAGTCCTGCATCTTGTCCTCTGAAGATTCAGACTCTTCAGACAGGCAGGGACCTGTCCTGGCTTGCTCACTGCTGTATCCCAGCATCAAGCCCAGTGCTGTGGACACAGCATCAGTACTCAGATATTTGCTACATGAACGAATAGAGCCTTAAGTGATAGGAGGATAAAATAAGTAAGCATAATGGAAGCAGCACACATCACAACACAGCACACTGAACAAACTTTTATGGCCATGGTCTGAATATCTGGAAAAACATCAACTGGAAATGAGTGCTGTCTGAAGCATGTCAGGGGCAGAATAGAAACTCCTGTCACAAATGAAAGCAACCTCAGAACTCAGGGCATGCAGCTTGAAAGTCTGTGTGAAGTATTATTTAAAGACACATTTATTTCTTTTGTCTCTATTCTCATGTCCATTCTCCATCTCACCCCAATATGCAACTGTTCTAATGTGCAAACACATATCCTTTGGTTTATGTGAGTTCTTAAAAACTGTATTGTTTGGTGAGCAAGTATTCCTGGTTTACGATGTTTGCATTTATGCTGCCATCAGGGATCTTATTCTTTCTTACTCTGTGGTAAAGAACTGGTATGGAATATCCAGGAGGCCTTGAGGGAAAGAATACCCTATTATTTAAAAATTGAATGCTTCATTTGAAATCTTTGGGAGTGGGAAGTAAGGTAAAAAGTTAAAGCTGATAAGTGTATCCAGGCTTAGTTTAATAGAAAAGAAGGCTAATAAATTAGATGATGGCATTATGTCATATCATGTGTGTGCCTTTTACATAACTATTTTATACCACAAATCAAATTTGGTTCACGGTATTTCCTCACTAATCTTCTGACCACTCTGAAACAGATATTTCCCCTGGGTTAGCTAAAGACTTTTACAGGCTGAGTTAATAACTTCATTTCTTAAAGGAAAATAATCACATTACAATAAGAAAAAAAAAGACAGGCTTTATACACTATTATAATATTTAGTTCCCTCTTAAATTATAAAGAGTCTATTGTCATTTGTTTGGTTAATTGTTTGATGGGCAACCATAATGCATTTCAATATGTAGACATTTTGAAATGAATTATCTGGGGATTTAGCCTTGTTTGAATTTGCATGGTTTAAGATGCATAATTGGGAACATGTGCCCTTTAAGCCCCAAACTTACTTTATCATGAGGCTTTGGCCATCTATACCTTCACCATCCCCTAAGTTGTACTTGCTTGTCAAGGAAAGGGAAATCTCAGTCTTTGAGAGCTGATTTAGTGTATTCGCCTTGTTAGGGTCATTGGGATCAATGGCTCCTTCCCCTGTAGAAAAAAAAAATTGTTATTCCCAATTCACTCATTGTGATGGTGCATCAACAATGTAAGATAAAGGTTCCATGGGAAAGGTAGGCTCAGTAGTTAGACAGGAGATCATAGTCTTCATAAAAAAACCCCACATCCCAATACACTTAAAGTGGCTTTTAAAAGTCTTTGATTTTGCCCGGCTGACATGGCTCACTGGTTGAGCATTGACCTATGAACCAAGAGGTCCCAATTCGATTCCTGGTTGGGGCACATGCCTGGGTTGCGGGCTCGATCCCCAGTGTGGGGTGTGCAGGAGGCAGGCAATCAATGATTCTCTCTCATCACTGATGCTTCTATCTTTCTCTACCTCTCCCTTCCTCTCTGAAATCAATAAAAATACATTTTAAAAAAGTCTTTGATTTTGCCCTATCCAGGTGGCTCATTTGGTTGCAGCATCATTCCATGCACCAAAAGGTTGCCGGTTCGTCCAGGTCAGGGCACATTCCTAGGATGCAGGTTTGATCCCCGGCTGGGGCGCGTACCGGAGGCAACCAATTACCAATTGATGTTTCTCATGTGGATGTCTATCTCTCTCCTTCTCTCTCCCTTCCTCTCTCTAAATATATTCTTGGGTGAGGATTAAAATACTTAGATTTTAAGTTAAAACAACATGGGACACAGATATTCAAAATATGAAAAATTACTAAAAGGGAGAATTGTTAACAAAATCCTTAGAGATTTTGAGAACACAGCAAGAAATTTCTAATAAACTTGACGCTTTTCTTTCTTTATGAAATAGGTTGACAGATATTATTTATGATGTATTTAGAACTTACCTTCAAGAATATCAAAGTGTTTTATACTATAGGACACTACAAGTTATAGAACCTTTAATGTAGGAAGTAGCTAGTGTACTTATTATTCTTTAAATAAGCTTAGGTGATAAATTCCAAAAAACTTTTGATCTAGGATCGGAAAGACAATGAGCCAACCAACCAACCAACCAAACTACTACAGACAAGCCAGAGAGTAAGTAGAAGGGATACGCTCTTACCAAGAAAAGATTCCACAGTAGGTACTTCTCCCAGCAATTCCAACAGTTCATTCAGTAAGTCATTTTTTTCAGGTGCAATCGCATCCTGGTGTTCCAACAGGAGCTGTATAGAGAAAGCAACACACACAAGTAAATTCTTAGCTGATACCATATTGATACAGTTTCCAGTTTTTCATGGTAATTTTATTGATATTGTTTGAATCTTAATTACAAGTCTGACATTTATTAAAATTAGAGACCACAGAGGTACAGTTTTTATTTTATCTTAGAGGGACGTGTCTACTTCTTGTCAAAAAATTGTAGCTTTGTGAAAGGTGCTCAACCACCCCCTTTCAGCAAGGTCTGCTGAGCGGCAGCCTTCTTCCACCTGATCCCGGTGCTCGCTCCTTTATAGAAAAAGTCAAAGTTGGGGGAAACATTCTAAAATGAGTCAAGGTGGTTAACACTGGTAGCCAACTGGAAGGGCATTTCCGTATGTTTTCAGAGAAGAATTATGCAGTAATTAAAAACTACAGCTACTTTGAAAAAATCACCACTACTGTCCGGCTGGTGTGGCTCAGTGGTTGAGCCAGATCCATGAACCAGGAGGTCACAGTTTGATTCCGGTCAGGACACATGCCCAGGTGGCCGGCTTAACCCCCAGTAGGGGGCAGCTGCTTGATGATTCTCTCTCATCATTACTGTTTCTATCTCTCTCTCCCCCTTTCTGAAATCAATAAAAACATGGAAAAAAAATAACCACTATTAGCTATTTTAATCTGAATGGCCCTGAATATCCTTCACGGGTAGGGATGGCAGAAATACCCATATGGTGCTTTGGCCTGAGACCTAGACATACCAGCTGGTTCTCCCTTTCACCATCCCCCTCCCAAAAGATCAAAGGTGAGTAACACTGCTGGGGTGTTTTGCCAAGTCTCAGAAGAAACATTCTTAACTTGGAGGAGCAGCAGCATTGGAGGGGAAAACTGAAGAACAGCACAGCTGTTTTTGTTTGTATTTAGAATTAAATGAAAACAATGTTTCCAAAGTATGGGACTTGTACCCCACACCTGGTGATAGAAAATAATTTTAGTTGTTTTGCATAACTATCTTACAAAACTGGATCAGAATGATAAAATTCATCTTTTCCATTTTCAACCTGTTTTTAAAAGCTTTATTTAGATATCATTAGCATATCATCAAATCTACTCATTTAAAATGTATGATGTGATGATTGTTAGTATATTCAAAGAATTGTGCAACCATCACCACTATCTAATTTCAGAACATTTTCATCACTCAAAAAGAAACTACCCATTAGCAGTCACTCTCCATTACCCCATCCTCGTAGTCCCTGGAAACCATTAATTGACTATCTCTCTCTCTAGATTTGGCTGTTCTGGCTGATTCATGTGAATGAAATCATACAATCTGTGGCCTTTTGTACTGGCTTCTTTCACTGAGCATGATGACTTCAAGGTTCATCCATGTTGTAGCATAGATCAGTACTTCATTCCTCTTTATGGCTGAATAATCAGTGTTCCATTATATAGAGATATCACACATCATTCATCTGTTGATTGTCATTTGTTTCCACTTTTTGTCTATTATGAATAACGATACTGTGAACATTCATGTATAAGTTTTTGTGTGAGCATGTTTTCATTTTTCTTGAGTTCAAACCTACGAGTGGAATTGCTGCATCATACAGTAACTCCGTGTTTAATATTTGGGAATTGCCAAACTGATTCCCAAAGTGGCCGTACCATTTTACACTTCTACCAGCAGTATATGAGAGTTTCAATTATTCCACATCCTTCCACATCCTTATTATTACTTGATTTTACTCTAGCCATCCCAGTGGGTGTGAAGTTGATATCTCACTGTGGTTTTGATTCACATTATCTGATGTGAATTTGAGCATCTTTTCATGGGCTTATTGACCATGACTACGGGCAAACCTCAGAGACTGTAGTTCAGTTCCAGACCACCGCAATAAAGAGTATTACAATAAAGTGAGTTGCAATCTTTTCATTGGTGGAGGGTCTTGCCTTCAATTTGTAAAAAATGTGCAATAATGCAAGGTATGCCTATATATCTTCCTTGGAAAAATCTCTATTCAGATCATTTGCCCATTAAATTAAAAAAAATGTTTTTATTGATCTTTAGAGAGATAGGAAGGGAAGAGGGAGAAGGGAGAGATAGAAACATCTATTGATTGGCTGCCTCCTGCAGGCCCTCTACTAGGGATTGAGCCCACAACCTGGGCATATGCCCTGACTGGGGATCAAATTGTGACCTCCTGGTTCATAGGTCAATGCTCAACCACTGAGCCATACTGGCCGGGCTCTGATCCATTTTGAGTTCATTTTTGAGTAGATTTGAAGGGAGGGGTCCGACTTCATTCTTGGCATATAGATTTCCGGTTGCCCCAGCACCATATGTTGAAGAGCATTATTTTCCTACTGAACTGTTTTAGTCCCTTGTTGAAAACAGAATGGACCGTAAATTTGAAGGTTTATTTCTAGACTCAGTTCCATCCCCTTGACTGGTATGCCTATCCTTATGCCAGTTCCAGACTGCCTTGCTTACTTCCTTTTCCATTCTCTTTTAGTCTGCAGGATCAGTGGGGGAGACAGTGTCTGTTTAATGCCGAGCTTTCCTTAACATTTCGTGACACTTGCTAAGTGGATTTTTAAGGAAGGGAGAGGAGGTCTCAAGGTGCACAGCTTCAAGGAAGCAACTATATCCAACTCCTCAGTTTTCATTGCATTTATTTACTTTTAAAGTTTCTGTTTATTGTAAGGCATGATAGTTTTCCCGCTATAGCTAGAGGTATTTTGTTTTAAAGCAAAGATATATATATATTTTATGTTTAAAAAAAAAGGTACCTGAGTTGATTTAAAGAAAGACATTATATAAATAATAGAGGCAATATAAAGACATAGTGAAATGTGGAAGGACCACATATAGCATATGTTTTGGGGGACGACAAGTTAGAGACAAGAACAAAATAAGCAATTTGGAGAAATCTGTGTTCTTGTCTTCTGACGAGACAGGACAGGTGATCTGGCTACTGTCCTTGGAAGGGGGGCCAGCTGCTACCTTCTATTCTGATATTTACAGAACACAAGAATTGCCTAAAAATGTCTCATTAAAGAGCTTATTTTGAGGTTGTATACATGTTCCTTAGAGAACAAGGGGCAGGCATGTGGCCACAGGCTTGGCACGTCACGCTGCTGCGTGCTTGTGTCTGCATGTGGGCACCTCCTCACTTGAGACAGACAGTAAACAGGACAGACTTTCTCTGAAAGGACATTACTCCCACGTTATTATGTCTGCTTCCTGCCTAACACATGGAGGGACTCCAGTCACGCACTGTGTTTCCCAGGATTGGATTCTGTTTTCAATTTTCGATCACAAAAGGAACAGACTAATTCTCCTTAAAAAGGAACAGCCCAAATGAATACAATAACAGTGTTCTCTCTGCTGTCCTTGGGAAAGAATCCCTCCTTCTAAAAGCGGACTCCCAACACTTTCTGCAGGAGGGCGATGCCCTCAGAAAAGTGCGCCACCATGTGAACATTTTCTTTGAGGTGGGTGATCTACCGTAGAAATAGACACATGGGATGTTGCTCAAATATGAATGAGTCTACCTGCTCATTAGAAAGTCACTTTTGCAAATGATACATTGCTGGACGTGGACATGTTTCCTTCGTGATTTTGGGTGTTTGTATATAAAGATAAGAAGCACAGCCTCTTCATTTAATCAACCAACTCACTCCTGCAGCTGGCCATTCAGACCTGCCTTTGTTTGGGGTCCCTCACAGTTTTTCTGGGGAGCTTGCTGAAATGTTGAGGAGGTTCCCTGCTCTAACTCTGAAAAAGAGAAATCAAAAGTAGATCCAATCTTTCTTCCAAACCTCAAGCTTTAGTTTCTTAGAAGAGCTTAATAATAAAGACTGAATTTTGAGCAGCCAATGTTGCCACTTGTTAGCATAGCTTGTTTGATGGGGGCAGGGGTAGGACCTCTAAGAAGTGTGTATTTGTTATGTTTTCCTCCTAGCTGTGTAGCATCCCAAGTTGGGTGTATCCTCAACCACGGCTTCTTGACCTTTAGTGTGTCTCTGGACCACTTGGGATCTTGTTAGAATGCAGGTTCTGACTTGGAAGGTCTGGGGCACATCTGGAACTCATCTCCACAACTTGGCTTGGAGTGGCAAGGTGCAAAACTAATCTCGAAAAGGTTACCTTTTAAGAACCTAGAATTTTCAGGAAATAAGTTCAAACTTGTCTTTAAAAAGGCAAAAGAAAACACGAAGCCCCCCACCAAACACTCTCAGTGCTTAACCTCTCTTTACTGCCCTGCCCCCAACAGGCACTTAATACACAGGCGATGGTGCTGCTGTTTGCAGAACCAGATGGAGACATTATGACACAGCACAGACTAAAACTGCCATTTCTAAGAAATGAGGGTTTCCAGAATAGAAGTGATTCTTGGTAGGTGGCTATTGTGGGTGGGTGGCTGGGGGGGGGGGGGGTGTCTTCTTTTCCCTAACTTTGAGCAGTCTGTCTGTTTCCTCTTTCTTTATGTCCAAAATTAGAATAGAGAAAACATTTTCATTTTCCCATGGAATTACTGGAAAAGCTGAGAGGATTCCTGAAAGGGAGAGAGACAGTATACGGCGGTGCAGGCAGTGTGGCCTTAGCGGGTGGGGAAAATACCAGGCCCTGCCCCTGCTCAGGGCTTAAACGGCACACTCACAATCTGCCTTTGCAAATAGAGCATGGAAAAAGTAAACTTTTCTTGGAAGAAGGAGTTTTACTAATGCCTAAGAGTCAGGGAATAAATGATCAAATGTTTCGTAGAATTAAGAACATGAGCATTCGCACATGCTTACATAAGCCCCGTAGAAAGACTAAGCATTTTCAAGACACAGCTGTCAGAACGCAGAGCCTTTTCTAACCCCACTTACTGAATGTGTGTTGATGATTTCTTCAATGGAAATATAAATGACGGGTTTGCTGACTGTCACCACATCTGTGTATTTATCCATGTTAAACTTTTCTTCTGGCTCGGGGACATCACATGCTTCTTTGAAATATTTCCTAATAAAGAAAAAAAAGTCTTAAGATAGTCAAATGGGTGAGTTAAACAGCCTTATAAATAGTGAGAAAATCTTGAATGATGACTAATTCTTTGTTCTCTTGGTGGTGGTGGTGGTGAGGGGGGCGGGGGGCGGGGAGGGGGGAGTTGTTACAGCATCTTCCAGGCTGGCTCCTGACTGTGGAAGCCGAATCCATGTTTCTGGATGTTTAACCCAACTCCTCGGACGGGCCCTGTTAGTGACTCAATATAATCAAATTATGGGCAGGTCATTTAATATGTATTATTTTAAAAATGGCCCTAAAATTTAAACAAAAATATCAAGACTATTAATCCTTGATCTAAGAATCAAGACTCCCTACAGAAAACAATTCAAAAAACCACCAAATTTGCTACTGTATTATTTTTTAAATATATTTTTATTGATTTCAGAGAGGAAGGGAGAGGGGGAGAGAGAGAGAAACATCAATGATGAGATCATTGATTGGCTACCTCCTGCATGCCCCACACTGGGGATCAAGCCCGAAACCCAGGCATGTGCCTTGACTGGGAATCGAACCGTGACCTCCTGGTTCATAGGTCAATGCTCAACCACTATCCATGCCGGCCAGGTCAAATTTGCTACTTTAAATGTCACAAGCTCCTAGACCAGTGATGGCGGACCTTTTGAGCTCAGCGTGTCAGCATTTTGAAAAACCCTAACTTAACTCTGGTGCCGTGTCACATATAGAAATTTTTTGATATTTGCAACCATAGTAAAACAAAGACTTATATTTTTGATATTTATTTTATACATTTAAATGCCATTTAACAAAGAAAAATCAACCAAAAAAATGAGTTCGCGTGTCACCTCTGACACGCATGTCATAGGTTCGCCATCACTGTCCTAGACCTTCAATACTCTAACAACCCTTCAGAGCTTCTGTTATCAATTTGACAAAAGTTTGAGTTACGTCTTCTCTACTCAGTTGATCCAAACAGCAGTTGTGGCTGATGGAAATACTATTAAGGATAGACACACAACGGCGTACAGTGCCCCATTCCTCCAGAACCCAGACTCTAAAGCGTCTGCTATTTTAAGCTATGGGAAGTGTAGACAGAGAGAGCAAGAAAGCCAGGTGTGCTGGCATCACGGTTTTGGAGTGATCCTCTGCACAGGGAGAGTAGGTGTTCTATTCCATAAAGTTGTAAATATTTCAGATGCCTCAAAGGATCCCTGGTGTATATCCTAAGGGTACCCGAGGCTTTTGTGCACAAGAACTGACCTCTGCCTTCCCACCCCAAGGCTGGGGGAAGTGAATGGCAGGCAGCCATGCTGGGGTGGGCAGGAGCATGTTCCCATCTGACAACTGGTCTTTTGCACTTTTTTGTCTGTAATTTATCACTAGTTGCTGAAGTATATAAAGAATAAGCATTAGAGGAAGAGGGAAAAACAGAGGAATTTAAGCGTTGAGGGGAGGGTTTTGAAGAGTTGGGAACATAGATGGTTAACAGGTATAATCTGAGAAAAAAGTAGAGGGAAGCTGCCACAGCAAGTAAGGGTTTGCAGGGAAATGGGTATTATTTTTTCAGTCAGTGAGAAGACCTAACCTTAGCAGCTTGAGAAATCGAAACTTCTTATAGTGGGAGGATTTGGGGGATGTTTTTAATAGGAGGCCACAAATTCCAAATAGAGATCAATAATCAGATCTTTGTCAGGAGATAAATCACTACCCAGAACACAACTGAGGAATGGGAAGTTATCATTTTCCAAGTGAGGAGTGGAAGAGGCCACAGTTATGTCATGCTTCTCTGACTGAATGGCAGACAAGAGAAAACTGAAGGCCAAGATGAACATGCTTCCTCAGAGAGCATCACGTGAGGGGCTCTTCCTGCTACTCTCACTCCTTTCATGTCCCTGTGGAATAACCAGTGATGGGCTCTGGAGCTGCTTTGAAAGTCAATAGGCTTCAGTCTTACGTGAATAATCAGGAAAGGTTCGAGACTAGAACAGAACACATCCACACACGTAACCCTCACAAGCACAAAAGCTGGACCTCCCCAACCATTCAAACCAACTACTCAGTTTCCTACTTATTGTTTGATGCAGGTAAGGCAAGTTTCTCCTGATTGAACAAGTTCTTAAAAACAAACAAAACCCTCAAGTTCAAAAAAGCAAAAATTAGCCATTTTAATTCTAACTACTATAAGCCTATTAGCAGTGATGGCGAACCTATGACATGCGTGTCAGAGGTGACACGTGAACTCATTTTTTTGGTTGATTTTTCTTTGTTAAATGGCATTTAAATATATAAAATAAATATCAAAAATATAAGTCTTTGTTTTACTATGGTTACAAATATCAAAAAATTTCTATATGTGACACGGCACCAGAGTTAAGTTAGGGTTTTTCAAAATGCTGACACGCCGAGCTCAAAAGGTTCGCCACCACTGGCCTATAGCATGCCACCAAGAGTAAATATTTCATTTTGTCAATGAGTAAAAATCGTACATGGGGGATAAGTCAATGTAACAGGGCTCTGGAGGTGGGATGGGGAGCACCAGACAGAAGTGACCCAGCCTGCTTGTCCCTCTTCCTCTTCCCCTCAGTGCTCACTTGTAGAAGTGCATGCGGCCACCCGAGGTTCCTGCCCCCCAACTCTAGCTCTGAACACAGAACATACATTATTCTTTTGCACCACTTTGCAAGTTTCTCCAAAATGACCCCCCTCACCTGAACTTCTGATACGTCTCTGATAAATAATTGTTTGTAGATGCGAGATGCTCATTTTCTCCTTCAAACAGCTTGTTGGAGGCCGCATGCTGAAGGACCTTGGCCACCGTTCCCAAGTTTCTCCTCTGGTCAGAATTGATCTGACCACCGGCCGTCATGTCGATGATATCAAAGCCGTCTGGAGCTACGATAGCTGGGTTCATGTACCGATAGTACAGGAGGTTTCCAACAATCTGGAGTGATGGAGAAGACTATTTTAAGAGAGAAAACTCAAGGGTTTGGGTTTTTTCGAAAGTAAATATTGATTGACGTTTCCCAAGAAATCAAATTATTTTCTAATACAAGGAGTTAAATAAAGGTAGTGAATATAATCACTCATTATTACAGTTAACAAAATTATTTTTGGTGAAAAATATGCTACTGCCCCCCAAATGATCTAATATAAAGAATCTCAATCATGTGTAAGATCTCCATAATCAACAATTACAATAACTGTTAGAAATAGACCTGCAGCTTATTATAAATAGTCATAGAAGGTGAAAGAAATCTTACAAAATGGTGTGTTGGTAATTTTGGCTCACACCCCCAAGAGAAGCTACGGTGAGATTACCCTTGAACATCTACCTTTAATAGCTCATCTTCTGTTGCATCGGGAAATTTCTCATGGATTGAATTCTTCAGTACTTTGGCTATATACCTCAATCCATAACTACATGTAAAACAGATGACAAAAGAAAGTAATGGAAAAAAACCTAAGTGAGAAAGGAATACACAGCAACTGTTCCAGTCAACGAAAGCTGAGCATTTTCCTAAAATTAAACATAACATGAGATGGTAACGGAAGCAAAGGACTTCCATGGATGACAGTAACTGAACGGGTTTGTATACTTTCCTCTTTGGAGAACAGTTATGAATTTAAAATGCAAATGTAGGCAAATGTTTAAAACGGTAAATATAATATGAGAGAAAATTCCTATCTTTACTACTGGGGTTTATTTTACGTATTATTTCAAGAACTTTCAGCAAAGAATGCTAAAGTTGCTAATAACAGAACTTACGGCAGTAGATCAAGGGAAGAAATGATGGAATTCAGGACTCTGTCGGTGACCCTGCGCAGGCTCTCATTGGATGCATCCAGTTTACTTTTCACTTCGGGGTAAGTCAGAGCCTGTTCTGCAGTCACATCGTAAGGCAGGTTGCTGAAAACACAACAAGGGCTTGCAATTTTATAGCGCGTAGGTACAAGCATTTGTATCCTTGCCAAGTTGATCCTATAGTTAAGCTTTGTATAGTGAACTGGACTTTGCCCACTGTCTCCAGGGACAAACGGTTTGCTAAGTGAGGGGAAGCCTCACATGCCCAGATGGTCCTCTGCCAGTAGGGGAGCAGGGCATTCCGGGCTCTCCCTCTGAGCTCTTCTGGCAAAGTAACTGGCAGATCCAGTTAACTTTCTTCCTCTTTTAAAAAATTCTTTTACAGAAAAGAACTGCATATAAGCCAACAAGAAAAAAACACACGAATTTACAGAAAACCACTTTTCATATCTTAGTCCACAGTTTTCTGGGTCCTCCATCTATGCACGTGTGTATATGGGTCTCATACACTCATGGGTACAATGCAGTTCATGTATATACACTCCCCATACAGATCCTATGTGTACTTGTGTATTTGTGTGTGCGTACAAGTATTTCCTTTTAAAGAAAATGAGTCACTGTACTTAACTACAACTGAAAACTAAATTGTGAACATTTTTCCATGCCAATAAATAGATTTCTATACCATGATTCCAAATAGTTACTGACTACTCCATTATGTCACACAAACATTTATTTAACAAATTCCCCAAAGCTAAATATTTTGACTTTGCCCAACTTTTGCTATTACAAATGCTGCTATGACAACCAGAGTTCTCTGTGCATATCTTCATGATTTCACAAGGCATCCTTTTGCAGGCAATGAAAAACTGGGATTGCTTAGATCTAAAAAACCACCGCCTAGAACAAGCCAATCCCACCTGGCTTGTTGATGCTTACACGTTAAAGTTACTCACTTGCTAAGTCTAAAAAAGTATGTATTATCAGGTGTACCATTTCTAGATCTAGTTTAGAAACACACAAAGAATAACCAAGGGAGAGAATTATGGAAGTTGTGGCTTTGGGGACCAACTGGTACTGAAATGTTACAACATCGTGTACTATCAAGATGAGCAGTACTCTAAGAATGTGACCTGCACCGTAAATTAAAGGGAGGTAACATCTTGGATTGAATGGAATTTGCACAGTACGTTTTGTTCTTTTAACAGAGCTTGACAGAGTTTAAGAATATACAGAATACACATGTAAAAATGATCATGAAGCATGATTGGAAAACAACATCTTCCTGGCTTTGTTACCTGGCTTCTCCAGTCTGTGTTTCTAGTTGGTTCACCCAAGACTTGTACACCTCCACAGGGTTCGTGTTGATGACCAGGGAGCTGTCATCCAGGATCTCCTTCACCACTGGAGCCAGGAGCTGGCGCAGCGTGTTCTGCCCACGGGCGCCTCTGTTGAAGCTGACGACCATCTTGATGACTGTAGGGTTCCCAGTAACGATGTCCTGTACCTGGTCCACCTTTGATCTAAAAAAAGCCCAACCCAAAACAAAATGGTTTGCCTCTGTGGATAGTTTTAAACAATGTATATTCTCTCTGGCAGGTGAGGGCTTCCTGGGGCTATATTTTTCTCCACTGACGATCAAAGATAGTATGACTTAAAAGGAAGCTATCATTTGTAAGATAAATGTTTCTGATTTGATAAATTTAAGGGTTTAAAAATAGGTTCTCCGCCGTAATCTCAATCTAGGAGGCAGGAAGGAACTGAAAATGGACCAAGACTAATAACACTGGGGGACACTGTACTGTGCCCTCTCTAGTTACCAAATTTCAAAAATAACTTTCTTGACTGAATGAACTATCTCCACTTCTCTAAGTCCCACTCAAATTCTAGGCTATGTGGCTTCTGGCTCCATCAGAGGGCTGAGAGAAATCTTCTTTATTTCTGATTGCCAACTCTCTGACCTTCCCTCTCTCCAACCTTCCATCTCTGAGCAACCTCTCCCCCTCCTCCCACTGGACCACTGTCTCCCGTTTCCACTGGCTTTCCCTTTAGGGTCTCAGAGTGCCAGGGTCTTACCCAGTCATCCATTTTGTTTCTTTTGCTGTCTCCTCTTCCCACCTTTGACTTGTTTTCCTTCACCTTCGACACGTTCTCTCCTCAGATCTCACTCAGGCACAACTGCAATGACCATATCTCTGCAGCCTATCCTTTGATCTGATATCTATTCCCCATCTCTTTCCTGGGAGTTAGTCTTGAATTTCCAGTTTTCTGCTGGATATTTTCATCCACGTCCTACTGAGTATATTAAAAGCACAAACTATCTTTCTCCTTCTCATTCTCTGATCTGTGTAGCTCCAATTCATCCTGTTCATACATGGCCAGCTGGTCAATCTTCTAAACCCAATGTGGTCATGTCCACATCCCTTCTCCAAAACCTTATAGCTTTCCAGGGAGTAAGAGGCTCATCAGGTGGTCCTGTCCTCACTATCTTCCATGATCTGGCTCAACCACTAATAGGCACTAATTAAGTCACATCTTGGAGAGACTAATCTTCTTTTTCTTGTACCTCGGCCCATGCTGCTTCTATCATCATTGTGCCTTATTTCCTTTTTCCATTTCTTCTTATAAAACTATAGATATTCTTCAAGGCTTTGGGCCAACTGCCTCCTCTTCCATAATATCTTTATCAACTGACCTAATTGAAACTTCTTACCATCCCTCTGATGTTACACTGTGTGCTTCATTCATTAGTTCTTACCTTATTCTTTGGCACAGCATTACTATTTCTCATGAATTCTATTTCTCATGCTGGTTTATAGACACCCTGAGGGCAGAGGGCCTAGCTAATATGTTTCAGGTGTCAAGAAGTCAGGAAGAAAGTTAAGGTCCATCTAGTTGGCTAAGGGCGCTCCTCATGTGTTGATTTTTTTGTGTGTGTTATTATTATTTTTTGTCCATTCATTATAGTTACCTACACTTTATTTTTTTTACATTTACTGAGAAAACAAATGAGCAAATTAGCAAAAATAAGCTTAAGTTTCAGTAAGAAGGGAACACTATTTAGCAGAGATCCTTATCTTGTGGCTTTATTACTTACATAATTTTAATTAAGTTAAATTTTCTTACTGACTTTCAAAAAAGCTTTTGATTTTCAGTTGTATAAAATCGAAAGTTAGTTTAGCATTAGAAAAGGTATCACTGGTGGGGGCAAGTTGTACCTGCATAACCTATAATGATGTAGAAATTTCTCAAGAAACTTGATATATTTAATAGGTATAAATAACTTATAAGAATTATTTATATACATACTTTACTTCTTCTTCCAGAGCGGTTTTAAAAAGCTTGAGGAGTAGATATTCTTCTCGCTGATTGGAAGCATAGTTGTATAGTGTGAAAATAACAGTATCCATAAATTTAGTGGACTTGTTCTGTGGCATCTGGAAAATCAGCTTAGCCAGGTATAAAGGATTGGTCTAAAACAAAAGAGGGAGGAAGGAAAAAACCCACCTGAAATCTATATGTTGATATATTATTAAAACAGAGAAGAATACCCAGTTCCCTGTCAATGACTTAATGTGTATACAGCAACTAGAAGAGTATCTGGCACAAAATAAGACTTTAAAAGTTGTCAGCTAATCTTAATAGTAATCATAGTAATACTATAGGAAGTTACATTAGAAAGTTACGAGAGAATTTAAATTGTATATGCTATGTGATATATTTAATGAAACATATATACTTTACACTGTTACCCATTTTGAGCCACACATGAATGTTTATTTTCGAAACACTGAAGAGAGAGGGGGTGGCAAATAGAATCTGGTATCTGAAAAGGCCCAGCTAAATAGACTGTCCTAGAAGAAGTGATGAGTGAATAAAAGGAAACATCCCCTATTTTGAGACTAAAAATAAAAAAGAAAAGGATATGTTTGAATGTGAAGACAGTGGGATGGCCATAATGTTTTACAAGGAATTAGAACTTAGGCGTGAAGCAGGTAGGCTAAAGAAAGAGGTGAAGGTCAGGATAGTTGATGGGGGAAATGCCAGAAGAAATCGACAAAGAAAAAAAAGACAACTTAAATGTTGACAAGAATTTAAAAAACACTGAAATGGAGCCCTGAGTGCTCAGCTGGAGTCTGTGAGATGTAGCACCAGTCATATGGTTTTTCTCCAGTAGCTACACAACCAGATGGAGGTTATTAGCAGAGAAAAAAATAATTCTTAGGTTACAGAGAAATCCTCCTCCTTTTCATCTTCCTTCTGATGAGAAAGGAAAATTTCCATACACAGAAACTAATTTTCCTCTGGAATAGAGTCAGCCCTCCATATCCATAGGGTCCGCATCGGTGGATTCAACCAACCACAGATAAAAAATACTCGGGAAAACGTTACTTTGTTGCTGACATGTAACTCTATAATTAGGTCTATGATGGCCATATACAGTCTGAACATGTACAGACTTTTGTCTTGTTATCATTCCCCATATACTATAGCATAACAACTATTTACATTAGGTATTATAAGTAATATAGAGATGACTAAGGTATATGGGAGGATATGCCTAGGTTATACGCAAGTACTACCCCATTTTATATAAGGGACTTGAGCATTTGTGAATTTTGGTAACCTTGGGGGTCCTGGAATCAACCCCTGGTGGACATCAAGAGACAACTCTACTCAAGCAGTTTGGCTTCAGTGTTTTAAAGAAAATCCAAATTCTAGCTTACTTTACTACCTAGATTTACTTTCAAGCCTATACAAAATTGGCTGAAATGTTATGAATAAGCAGCTCAGGACAACTGTTTCTTTATAGCTCTGTAGAGATTCTTTTCCCACACAAAGCATATGAGATTGAGAAAGTTACTCTAAAGCTAAAGAAGCCCACTCCTCATTGCTCTCAGATGCCCTAAAAACTTTAAATTTAGGCTCACACTGCAGAGACAAACCCAACCTATATTAGCTGATTGGCTACTGTGGCTAATAATTCTTGCTAAGGCATAATCCAAAGGCCAAAGGAATCCAGACCATTTGCTATTCTATGGTTTCCTCATTGATCTTGGGCTAAGGTGTCCAAAGGAGAGAAAGAAAAGGTGAAGGAAAATTCATGATTAGAAGAGACAATTCACTGGGTACAACCAAATGGTCGTGTTCTGGGACTATCAGTTTTTTTATTTTGGGGGAAATAAAATTTGGTAGAATTAATCTAAACATGCTCCTGTGTCTTTTCCCTTTTCCATCCATCTGCCTTCACTTATGTAACAGGGTAAACAATACAAGCCTTAGGCTAATGACTAAATTATGACTTTCCCTGTGACACAAATTCTATCAAAGCAGCTTCATACACTTAGAAGTTTGTGGATGTGAAAAATGACAAATGTCTAAGATTGAATTTCCAACTGGTGGATAACTACTAACCTGATTTAGGCAGCCAGAAACCCTTCCCTGTCGAGTGTGAGCCCCCTTTCTTTCTGGAAAGGCTGCTGGCATTAAGCCCTGGATTCCATGGACAATTCTGTTTTAACGTGTGTGTTTTTTTGTTTTCCCCTTCTATGCTGCCACACTGTGGCCCTCTGTGGCACTACATCTCCTTTTCCAAGCTATTATTCGAAATAGAGAATTATCAAAATTGACATCTCTTCTCTCAGTGGGTCTAGTCACCCCCTATTTATGGTTTGGCTAACATGTTCTGTGTACACCTCATGTCAGTGGCATCCTCACACACAGATTCAGGCATCACCACTGACAGCAGCTGCCCACACAGAGGAACACCTGACATCCAGGAAGAACTGCTGATGCGAGTCTTGTGGGAAAGTTTTCCTGCTGAAGGGGAAGCTTTGTTTACATCTATCACTGTCGCTTACTCAGTTTCCTTTAGCACCTTGTGGTCGGGCAGATAAGCTGAATCAATGGTCAAATAAAACAGCAACTGGTCCACCAGAGTCCAACCATAACCAGTTCAGCTTATCAGCTCACACCCGCACTCTGGAAGCAACGGAGAATTACTGTTCATTCAGATCAGAGGAATGCCATGAAATCAATGAAATAAAAAGATACACTATTTCCCTAATCCAAACTCTTTGGCTCTTTGCTCAGAAGAAGGGCAGACTGATTCTGGTAAACACCTGTTTTTCAGATAGTTAATTTTTTCATGGTTAACAGCATCTGCTTATACTATTATCAGATTTATCCCGTTTCTGCAGATAACTGTAGTATAAGATAGTCATGAAGCTAATGGGCTCTGAAAACAAACTACTTGGGTCCCAAAGCCCTTGTTTTACCATTTACTGGCTCTCTCAGTTTTCTCATATGTAATTTAGGAAAAGCAACAGCAATTACTTCCTAATGGTTTCTAGGGTTGCAGTAAGAATTGAATGAGATAATGTATGTAAAGAACCTAGAATAGTACTTGGTACTTAGGTTTTCAAAGCATGTAAGATTAAACTCTATTCCAGTTTTAGCATGGGGAAAGATCCACTGTAAACCACAAACATGGAACACAGTATCTACCCAAAACTCATCCTATATAATAAAAGCCTAATAAGCTAAGTGTCTGGCCATCCGGTTGGCCGTTCAACCAATCAAAGCGTAATATGCTAATGATATGCTAAGGCTGGTCAACCGCTTGCTATGACGTGCACTGACCACCAGAGGGCAACCAGTCAACTGGTCGACCAGTTGCTATGACGTGCACTGACCACCAGGGGGCAGACGCTCTGACCGGTAGGTTAGCTTGCTGCTGGGGTCCGGCCAATTGGGACTGAGCGAGATGGGCCAGCACACCCTGGAACCCTCCCGCGGTCCCCTCCCTGGCTGGCCAACCTTGCGTCCCTCCCTGGTCCTAATAGTGCATCAGTGGGGTCCCTCAGCCTGGCCTGCGCCCTCTCGCAATCCGGGACCCCTCGGGGGATGTCGGAGAGCCAGTTTCAGCCCGATCCCTCAGGCAGGCCGGGGACCCCACTGGTGCATGAATTTGTGCACCGGGCCTCTAGTAGTGAAATAAAGTGTTCTCACCTGTAAAAGATAAAACAGCTGCTGATATGTTTCTAGTGTTTTTCTCCGCTCCTTACTCAAACTTTTGATTCCTTGGTTGTCAGTGTTATTCAGTATTTGCATTTCTCCACCTTTTTTCTTATTCAGCTTCGTTCTGTGTGAAATCACATCCTGGAAAAAATTTTTATAAAAATATTTTTATACTTTGATACTCTTTACCTCTTTCCATCACATACACCAGACACACCCATAGTTGAAAAGATTAATTTTCCATGTTTCCCTCATGAAGAAACAAGGGAATAGAGAATGTTAAACAAATTAAGGAAATCCAGCTTGCAGGTAAATTTGGCTTTTGTAATATTTATTCTCCAAAGTTTCACTTATTTGCTCTTAAGCGTTAAGGTAGGCACCAAGACAATTCAATAAGGAAAAAATTGTCTTTTCAACAAATGATGGTGGGACAACTGGATGGGCATGTTCAAAAGAAAGAAGTCAGACCCCTACTTCATACCATAAGCAAAAACTAACTCAAAAGAGATCAAGCAACTAAATGTAAGAGCTAAAACTATAAAACTCTTGAAAGAAAACCTAGGTATAAGTCTTTGTTACCCTGGATTAGGCCATGGTTTCTTAGGTATGACACCAAAAGCACTAGTGACAAAACAAATAAATTGGACTTCATACAAACTAAAACCTTTGTGCTTCAAAGGACACTATCAATAAAGTAAAAAGACAACCCACAGAATGGGAGAAAATATTTGCAAGTCATATATCAAATAAGAGACTTGATCCACAATATATAAAGAACTCTTACATCTCAAAAAAAACAAAAGACCAAAAACCCCAATCAAAAGTGGACGAAGGATGACAACAGACATTTTCACAAAGAAGATCTACACATGAAGAGATGCTCAATATTAATGGTTATCAGGGAAATTAATGCAAATCAATAGTATAATGTGATACCACTTCATACTAATTAGAATGGCTATAATGGAAAAGACAGTAACAAATGTTGATATATGGATAAATTGAAAACTTCATACCATGCTGGTAAAATTGTAAAATGGTACAGCCACTTAGAAAAACATGTTGGTCGTTCCTCAAAAGTTAAACACAGAGTTATTATATGATCCACTAATTTCACTCTAGGTATATACCAGTGATTTTCAACTGGTGTGCAGCAAGAATTTCTAAAACATGCAATACCTGACTATTTAGCCAGAGGCACTGACCTTTTTCCTCTTAGACTGTCAAATAAAAAAAATGACGATAGCCAACACAACTATGGCTATTCCAGTATGAATGAATCAAAATTATACCTATATTCTGGTCAGATGGGCAAAAAAGATGTTTTTTGGTGTGCTACAGACTTTCAGTAATTATGTGTGCCATGAGATGAAAAAGGTTGAAAATCACTGTATATACCCGAGAACTGAAAACATATGTCCACACAAAACCTGTACATGAATGCTTATGGCAGAATTATTCATAATAGTGAAAAAGAAGAAACAACTCAAATGTCCATCAATTGATGGATGGATAAATAAAATGTGGTATATAACAATGAAATGTTATTCATAAAGAAAGAGGAATGAAATATTGACTCATGCTACAACATAGGTGAACTTCAAAAACACTATGCTAAGTGAAAGAGCCTGTCACAATGGACCACATATTGTGTGATTCCATTAATATGAAATATCCAGAACAGGCACATTTATAGAGACAAAAAGCAGATTAATGGTGGTGTGGCTGGGGAAGAGAATAATAGGTAGTGACAGTGAATGAATATGGGTATTCTTTCTTTTGTTTTTTGAATTGAAATATTATTCACATGCTTTATAAATTCATCCTTTTCAAGTGTACAATTCAGTGGTGTTTCATACATTCACAACGTTGTGCAACCATCAACACTATCTAATTCCAGAACATTTTCTTTGGGGTTTCTTTATGGGGTGATAAAAATGTTCTAGCATTAGATAGTTGCACAATTTTGTTATAATACTAAATATGACTGACTTTTTCAGATTTATAGGAGGAATGCAAATTTTAAAAGTATTGTAAGACACATTGTGACTAGGAGAGCTGGAGTTGCTCTATAAGAACTAATCTACTTCCCTTTACAATCTTTTCTTCTCACTAAACACATGCTCAGTGTTAAAAAAAAAAGATAAAGAAGATAAGTTTAGTTCTATCATCCAAAGAAAAATCACTTAACTTTTGTTCTAGCTTTTCTGAAATATAAAATATAGTACAATAAATAAAATTGTCCTGTTTTGGGTACTATTTCCCCCCCATTATATTGTGAACTGTTTCCCCTGCCCTTAAATGTTCTTCAAAAAAATTATTTTTAGGGACTGCATAACCTGCATGTTAAACGAATTCTATTTGTGTTAGGTTGTTTCCTCACTGCTTCCCCACTATAATCACGCTTCAACTGCACTATTCTGAATGTCATCAACACTAAACTTGCTATCACAGTGATAAGGCTAACGACTACATATTCAATAATCATTAGTTTAACTTCTAATAAGTGTTTGATAAATACTAAGTGTTTGAAAACGCAAGCTGAAAACTTAACTTCATCAATTAGAAATACTTAAAAAAACTTAAAACATTCATGAAGATCTGACAATCTGCTATGATTGTATTTCCACAACTACATATTATCCCTACTGTTTTCTGTTTTGTAAGTAAGCCTTTCTTTGGGAAGGCACTTCCTGTTTACAACTTCATGGCTAAAAAAGGCATTCTCCAACAGACCTTCTGGATTATATGACACTTTAAAAGTTCTCGTTTACGTCAGACAATATAAACATTTCATAAGAAAAACAGTATTGCTGATTTTCTGGATAAAATAATGAAAATAGAGTTAAATGAAGAACATTAAATCTAGTTTCCTTATTTCCTCTTCAACTATTTATTTCACTGTTATCTCCGTGAGCCTGTAGCTCCCATGGCTGCTTGCCTCCCACTCTTCCAGAAGCACATATTCGGCCCCTGCAGCCGGCTACCCACCCGCCCCGGGCAGCCTGCTCAGAGCTTCAGGAAGGTCCTGTCAGTTCTCTGGAAACGGATGCGGCACAGAAGCAGGCACACAGCTTTTCACTGTTTCCAGGAGCTCTGACACGGTCCTATTTCACAAAGACCCGAAAGCACAGCATTCTTTAGTTAGAGTCTATGACTGGGCAGTTCCACTCTGTAGGGACCGTTCTGGAAATGTGTAAAAAAATGTTTTAATATCTAACGACTGGAAAGCACGATAGGCTTCTAGCAGGTGTGGGTGAGGGATGACAGGTGCCCTGCTGTCCTGCGTAGATAACTGTCCCACATCCGGCATGGCTGGAGTCTGAATGTGCTGCTGGCCAGTCATTCACAGGCAAACATTCTCCGGGTAATTATTGGAGCCTAGAACCTAACTGTTTGACATATAAGCACACTACACATCCTCCACAATTTTAACGTACACTTAATTTTCTAGGACCATAATTCTACGTAAACACCCTGCCTATTCTGAACTTTGCAGAGTTGATGTCCGTTTTGGAAAACGAAAGGCCCCGCCACCCCGTGGGCCAGGCTCATCTGCAGCTCCCTCTGCGGTTATTCCGGGAAGAGGCCCCAGCCTCCAGCCACTTCATCACATCTCCTAAGGGCATCGGGCCTGTGTACTTTCGTTTGGAAATATGTGTGTTAATTGCAAATTACTTTCTTCTTATTTATCTCTTTTACTTATATAAAGGCCTTAGTCTTGTTATGAAGGTACACATGTAAGTAGGTTTAATTTCATAGAATTTTCATTTCCGACTGGTAAAGGAGCCTGATGAAATGTTATAAAGGAGGGAGGAGACTTTCGCAGTCTGAGAACCACTACTTTGTAATGCAAATGGTAACTGAACTTCGAACTACTCATTCTGGATTCCAAATGAGCTCATCTGGACCAGAGTGCTGGGGACCAGCACACAGGCATCTCCCCTCTTCTGGGAGCCAGCAGTCCCACAACCCCTACCGACCTCCAGGGTGATCCTGTTCTTCACCAGGAGCCCAATCTTGATGTCCATCAGGTTCAGGTCTTTCTCCAGCTGCTGATTGCCCCTGATCTTGGTCACCACTTCTCCCCTCAACCGTGCGACCTCCAGCTCCTCCTGGAAATCCAAGTCACTTTGGTCCAATAGGTGCACAAATTTGCGGATTACCGGTAACGGTGGGTTTTCGGAGCCCACTGCAGGGAGAGGAACAGGCATGTTTCATTTGGGCATGCTTGGAATTACTACCAATAGGAAAGAAACCAGGTCTTTAAATAAAGCATTACCAGAAAAATACAGCAATGGAATGACTTGGGCTTTGGAACGAATTGTTCTGTCCCATGTAAAATCTGGACCAGAAAACTGATCATGTAAATAAAAGCAAAGCACTGGTAATGTCTGGCCTCATTACTTTCCAGTTACTAACACTCACTTATCAGCCGCCTCTTACACTGTTTCCAGGACTCATGCACTGAGAAGATAGTGCCTTACTGATGAGGAGTCTGGGAAAGAATGTCAGTGTTTAAGTTACCTCGGTTCTGAGGGCCTGTGGCTCAGCCAGATAAGAGATTTGTGCTTTTGCTGCAGGAAGCAGAATGTGGTTTCTCTCGGCCCAAAAGACCTCTGGGAAGGAGCAAGAACTAGGTGATAAGTGAATTAGAAAAGGCTGATGAAGGGAGAACTAACTGTAAGGCCAAACAGAAACCACTGGAATGACAAGTAGGATACAGGTTCTACTTGGCAGAAATAACAAGATTTTAATAATTGAAATTTGGTCCTTGTTCTTTCTGCATGGACCAAGGGAAGACACTCAGCGCCTAGGAGACCAGCCTCTCTCTGGCTGACAGAGGCATCTATGTAAATTCTAAAGGGGCTTTCCCTTCCTGCCTTGAACGTTAATTATGCTGGCACAGACTTTTTTAAAAGCGTATTTTTTAAGGTGTTTAGTGAGATCTTGGTAAACTGTGAGAATAAACTCTGGACCTTCAATGATGATTAGCTACAGCAATACAAGCATGACTGGAAAGAGTCCAGCCCAGTCATGGCAACCTCAACAGCCATCCTCTCCTTTACATGAAAGGCCCTAGCCCATCTTTTTTTTTTTCTATGCCCAGCGTGGTTGTGTGGTGTTCTGACACTCAAAAAATAAAAAGCGCTCAACCAACACCACAAACAATGAACAGCATGAACTCGGCATGAACAACCAAATCTAGAGACATCTGGGTTACTATTTTGCCACATTGGATGATCTTTTTTGGAGACGTTACCTTGGATCATGAGGACCTTTGTGAATTTATTTTCCTCTCATTTCTACCAAAGATGTTGCTGATGACAGGACCATTCCCGAGAAAGCCTGAGCGATGCACTAGAACTCATTCATGTGGAGAAACTGAGAGAACTGGGCCATCTCATTTGTGTCTAAAGTCACTATCCCTGCTCCTAAGGACTGTGTATCTTTTCATATTCCAATAGGCCAGTTAGAAACAAATATTTTAGCATTACCAATTATTTTGGTTCAAATTTAATATTTCTCCAATCAACAGTAGGCTTTTTTGGCATCTTCATACCACCCTGTGGTAGTTTAATGTTAGAAAATCAAACACTTTCATGGTCAGCACTTACTGGCTTCACTGCAGTTCTAGCAACTTCCAAGCTTAAATTCATTCAATATCTCTCCAGAGGGAATGGGTGAAAATGGAGGATGACTAAGAAAAGTGGTCTTTTTCAGAACAGAAAAAAAATGCCTTAGCTTTGTAAAGATAATTGAGAAAGAAATGACAATTTACATTTCAGTTACCATGAAACCACCTTTGCCAAAGGCCAGAGAAGCTCAGATCTAACTTATTCACTAACATAGTTTTAATCCACCTCTACAGGTTAAATAAAATCACCCAGATTTTTAAACTGGAATTACTTTTGTTTTTGTAATTTAAAAAATGTAAGTAAATGAAAAGCATTACCCACAAAAACATGTTACCTAGAATGAAAATCAGCCTGTGTTCATTTGGAGAATTTAATCCTCTCTTTTTCTTTATTGATTAAGGTATTACAAATGTGTCCTTATCCCCCCATTGCCCCCCCAACCTCCCACTCATGCCCTCACCCCCCCTGGTGTCTGTGTCCATTGGTTATGCTTATATTCGTGCATACAAGTCCTTTGGTTGATCTCTCCCCCTTACCCTCACCCTCCCCTACCTTCCCTCTGAGGTTTGATGGTCTGATCAATGCTTCTCTGTCTCTGGATCTGTTTTTACTTAAACTGTCTTTCACATGCAAAGGCAAAAACAAGCCCATTTTAGTGTGTAAGGGTTCAGAAAACAAACCCTCTACTCAGACTTCTCATAAAAAACACTGAAGATACCCACTGAGAGTTGAATCTCATGAATTCAAAGTGGAGAAGTATGCCACTGAAAAGACTGGCTGACCTACCCTTACTCCGCTTAGCCTACTGGAACATAGCGGAATAGACATTATCCAGTAGATTTGGGGGCGGAGCCTGGCCTCTAAAGCTTCCCAAGGCTTTTCCTTAACAAGGACCAGGGAAGATTTTTCTGGAGCCATGCACTTCCTCTCATAATTCAGATAGACTTTAGACAATAAAGGGTGTTGGCTAACCTACTTACTAGGCACTGTGCTAGGAAAATTTCTAAACAGCTTTTTACTTTCTCCAAAAAAACAAATTTAAAAACAAAGCAGAGTTAGAGAAAATACAATGGCCAGTTTCATTACTAAGATACTCAAGCAATGATTTTGTTTTTGCTCTCTCAAAGCTATTTTTGAATGACAAATAAAATATTTATTTATTTCTTTAAAAAATATTTTTTATTGATTTCAGAGAGGAAGGGAGAGGCAGAGAGAGATAGAAACATCAATGATGAGAGAGAAAAATCATTGATCAGCTGCCTCCTGCATGCCCCACACTGGGGAATGAGCCCGAAAACTGGGCATGTGCCCTGCCCAGGAATCGAATCATGACCTCCTGGTTCACAGGTTGATGCTCAACCACTGAGCCATGCTGGTGGGGCCTAAGTGAAATATTTAAAAAATGTGGACAGTCCTCATAAATTTATTAACAAGCTATTTTCGACTTAATCTAGGACATGTTCTTAATTTATCACATGTTCTTGCGATAATTAGAATGTTGAAAATTCAGCATGTAAAGAATAATGTTCACTATGTAAAAACCAATGAGAAACATATGTAGAGCTGGAACTGTAAAGAGAGAGCACAAAATGTGATTGCTATTCTTGGGTGATTTTTAATTTTGTTTTGCTTTTTCAAACTTTCTACAAATGCCTTATACTATTACTAGTGACCCGGTGCACGGATTCATGCATATTGAAAGGAAATTAATTAGAAGGTGGCCGGCGGGGTGGGACTGGCAAGACAGGCTGGACACGCCCTGAAGCCAACCTCCTGTGGTCCCTTCCCTGGCTGGCCGCACCCGGGGTAGTAATGTGGCTCGAAGTGCTTCTGCGGAGTGACTGAGGTCCCTCCGGCAGGTGGGATCCCTCGGCCTGGTCTGTGGGGATCGGGCCGAAACTGGCTCTCCGACAGGGATCCCGGAGTGCGAGGGGGCACTCTGCAAAGTTGCTGTCATACAGGGTGTGGAACCCAAACGCAAGTGTGCAGTAAACCAGATTTGGGGCCAACATAACCTACAGCCAAAGGTGGAATCGAGCGGCCCCATGAGGAATCGGGCTCCCTCCTCTCTGGTTTCGGGTGTGGTGCGTCACCCAAGAACTGCCACTGCCAAGTCACTGCAGCTCGGTAGCTCCTGCATTGAGTGTCTGCCCCCTGGTGGTCAGTGTGTGTCATAGCGACTGGTCGGATGGTGGAAGGGACACTTAGCATATTAGCCTTTTATATATATAGATAAGAAAAGCTATTTTAAAAACCATAGCTACTGTGAAAAGTCCAGAACAAAGTTACAGGAAGATGACTGTAGTTATCTTTGGGAGGTGAGTACATGTCTTTTTCCTTTTTATATGATTTCAAAAATTTCTTATAGGAATATGTTTTACTCTTATAGTGAGGAGGGAAAATCATAGGCCAGCAAATAAATTAAACAGCTGAAATGTACGCTTATCTTCTGGCTCTTTTGCATTGTATTCTGGATTCCAGCTCAAATTTAATATAAAAATATCAGCATTTATGCCAACCCCATTCTTTTTGAAGAAGAAATGACATCCACTCCACTTACCCCTTCCACTTATAATAGGAAACATGTCATCCCACGTTCCCTTGTATACCAGTTCAGAGTCTGGGGCTGAAGGTGACCCAAATCCTCTGGACACAATGGGCATCTCTGTTCTTGGAGCAGTCTCTGAAGTGACTAAGTTAGAAATAATTTGTCCTCCCCTGGCTTATAAGGGATCCATACTTTGTTTCTGGATACTCCCACTTACCCAATGTTTTGTAGTCATCTCTCGCCTTGCTTGCTCTCAATAGTGACTGTATTTTCACGATTTCATTATTCTGCAAAAGAATGAGACCGGTCATGGCCTTCCAGAGTCCCATCTACTCCACTATTTTAGGATTCAGAACTATTTAAGAACTGATGGTATTTAAGAATGGACACTATTTAGAAGTGATAGTATTTTGATGTGGTGGATTCAATGTTTATTTTTCCACTTTTTTTGAATGAAGGGTCAGATAAAGTCAGCTAAAAGTATAAACAAGATTGTATGGGGACTGTTAAAGAGCTCTAAAAAGGGAAAAGAATTTCACCACCAAACCTAGATGATCCAATGCATGTTCACCTGGCTCTTCTGTAAAGATCCTGAAAGAATTCCTCCTGTGGGCTTCTCTCTAATTTAATCAGTTACCAGGTAGAAAAACTGTCCTAGTGATGTTGGAAAAGATTCCCTTAGGATCTTTTCTCTTAGGGCCCACACCAGTTTGCTTTCTCCTGTTTTTCCTAACCAGTCCTGGTGGGTGAAGGCTCACTCTGAACTTGAGTTCTGAATACAAACTCTTACGTCTCCAAATATTATCACATTGTGTTCTAAGACCTATTTTTTTTTGTCCTAGTATTCATTCCCACCATTTAACAAAAATCATTCAAGGCTAACATGAAACAAAGCTTCGTTCAGTTCATGCTCAGCCGGGATAAAAATGCACATGCAGGTCTCTTACATGATCTCTGAAATACTGCAGCCGTGAAAGGTAATTCCTCCGTGCTCTGGTCATCCGGAACCAGGACTGAATCTAAAAATACGTTAAACAGAGAAATCAAAGAACTTTAATGTCTTTTTATGCAGTCTCTCTAAAAAAATAATATTTATACTTTATTTGATAAAAAAGTAAAAATTAGCAGCCTGCCACATAATAAACACCTAAAGCCTGATCTTTATCTCCTACTTCTTTCACTGCTTCTTCTCTTAAGGGCTGAAAACATTTTACACTTTATGGTACGGAAGGTAAGGTAGCCTTGTGATGTTTTGCTTTCATCCCCATAAATGAAAAGCATGTTACTGAAAGTTGTAGTGGGTCAGGGAATCAAATGAAACTAAGTCCAGGGTTTCTTCCAACATTTCTTAAATATATCCAATATACTTGAGGTCTTTACAGAGAAACATTTAACGCGTTCTCATGAGGGACCAACTGTGAACGAGTTTTCTGAGCGAGCAGGCCTATGCTCCATGGAGAGCACAGGACATGAAGGAGCTGCAGCACCATGGATCTAGAAAATGTCATTCTGTGTCTTCACAGTTTAAAAAGTCTTTTAAACTAACCTCATCTGATCCCAGTCTCTCTCCAGCCCCCATTCTGACTTTCACCAGGAGTCCCAAGTTGTCTATCCGTCCACTTCTGCATGGGCCCCTGGTTTCCAGCTCCGAGACAGTGGCCATCACAGTGCCGCTTCCTTCTCTGAGGTCAGAGCAATCACCCTGGTGCAAAGCTGGGTGGGACTGGCTCACTACCCAGATTCAGATCCTAACTTTTGCCTTTACCTTCCCATGAAGGTTTCGTGTTGTTAAGTTTGAGCATTCTAAATACTATCAGCAAATATGATAAGAGGAACATGAAATAAAGTTGGGTTTCTGCCAGACTTTAAATAATCAATTTGGACTTTCTGGAGAAAGAGCATTTCCCGGTTACAAAGCATTTGCACATCTGACTCTCATGACCACATAAAGGAACCAAGTCAGCTATTGTGTTCAATGGACTTGCTTGTAGATGATCAGTTAAGTGAGTAGTGGAGATGGGACTCAAACCCAGGACTTGCTTCTGGCTTCAAGGCTCACACCTACTCCTTCCATAGTCTGTCTTCCACAAGCAAACTAAACAGAAGGGAAACGTTTAGGTCAAGCACTTGGTAAGAAAGGATGTTTACCTTCACAATAGAGGGAAGCTGATCAGCGAATGTCTGCCGCCTGCTGACATATGACATCCGTTGTCTATGTCCCCTCCAAAAAGCCTGTGGAAGAGAGTGAGCTACAGAATTAATTATGTGCAACACTTCTCCAGTTTATTTCAGAAAGCACAAGAGTAGAGGATTTCTCAAGACACCGAGTGAGAAAGCTGTCGGGACCCTTCCCCCCGAATCGCATCTGAACACTATCTATCGGGTGGACATTAAACTGAGCAGAGAGCACCAGCTCACAGTTGAGGCTTTTCCCAAGCTTGAGAAGCCCAGTGTCCCATCCAAAAGCTTAATTTTACCAAGGCCCTGGGTGACAAGAAGTAGTAAAAAATCGGAGTTACCCCAAAACATACAAAGAGATTAACTGCGTGCTGGTATTTTTTGGTAACAGTATAGATGCTTCAAAATAATGACTAATAAATATCTGAATCCAACAAGTGGACCACTGTGGCCCAGACTGGACAGGAAGACGCTCTCCTAACTTGAGACTCTGGATCCCTGAAAACAGGAGGGCTGAGATGGGACAGGCATTATTTCATCTATTCCTGCACCAAGTGTACTGGTGCTCCAGCAACAGAGCTTTACTGGGTTATCAGCATTAAAGATAATTTTTATAGGAAACATTTAAAAAAGCTGGACAGAAACTGAGATCTGCAGAAGGATCAAATCCACAGCTGTTCAATTCCAACCTTATTCCAGGCCATTTGTGAGTTTCTTTTTATTGATGCATATCCTTGTAACTCACTCCAATTCTCTGATTTTTCAAATTAGAAATGAAATACAAGTTTCTTGTTAAAAAGGACAAATAGAAACATTATACAACTTTTATAAAAAAAATAGGTTGCATATATCAATCTATCTCATTCTTCTAAAAATATATGTGGAATTTATTATCACTTAAAAAATAATATACGTTTTTGTAATAATTCAAAACAAAATAGTCAGGATGGAATAAAAATGATTAACTGAGTACCAGCTCCAGACTTCCCCTCTCAATGCAAATCCATAGAAATGACACATGTGCCTTCAAAAAAACACCCTAATTCTGAAATAATTATAGACTCATAGGAAGCTGCAAAAATCATACATTGACTTCTATGTCTTATGTGAGTGCCTTCACCCAGTTCCCCTCAATGGTAACATTTTTTCAGGACATCTACTATAATGCTAAAAAATGAGAAGGCATATGGATCCGAAACCAAGAGGGATCCTGGAAGAGAAAAGGCAGCTGGCATTGGACTGAAAGGAGGAACCACAGAACAAAATTCTACGAAAATGTGGGAACATCTACAAAAATTGTTGGATGGTACTAAGCTTGAAAAAGCCTTGTACTACAGACAGAATAATTTTGGGGAAGTTATCACCTTATCTACTTGCCAGTAGTGAACACAAAAGCGTAGGTGGGAGAGGGGAATTAGGAAAAGCACAGGAGTGTAGAGCCTTTTTCGAGCGAATTGAACAATATAAATTTAAAGTTACTTAGCTTTCTATCTAGCGTTTCTAATTTTCAATTTATCTAGCCTAAGGAAATACAAGCACCTGTGTAGAATAAATATAAGAATTTTTGTTGCACTGTTTGTTAAAACAGATATATGAATGAAGCAGAATGTTTACAAATAGAGGAACAATTAGATACACTGTGATTGCACTCATACTCAGGGATGTTACATGACAGTTAAGAATGAGGGAGAGTCTTATATATTGACTGTGAAAATGTTCTGTATCGTGAGGAATAGCAAAATCTCCAACATAAGGCAAAGAGGAAATTGTACCTCACCATACACACTATGATACGACATGTTGACGAAAAAGGAAAACATAAAGCAATAGTACATATTTCTATGCAAACAATCTGTACTCAATGCCTAGAAGATCTATTAGGATAAGCAACAAGCACAGAGAAAGGGCATGAAGTAAAACGTGCCTATGTACCTAGCCTTACTTCGACCCAGCTATTTTCTAAAGGAATTCCCAATTTTTATGTACCTTTTGAAATAGGTAAAGCATATATGCATATATGCATAGTTGTACACAAAACTATAAACATATAAACATATAAGTATGTATATGTGTTTATGGATCCTTTATTTCTGACAACATGGGATCCAATCTTATGCCAAGGTTTGCTTTATTTTCCCTCTAAATTATATATAGCAATTATATTATTTCATATAAAAACACAGATCCTCCCCATTATTTTTTAATGACCACACAGTACTCTGTAGTATAGTTTTACTATGACTTAATAATACCTCTGTTGGTAGGCATTAAGTTATCTTTTTTTTTGCAGTAAATAACCTAGTATACACATTATTATGCATTTTTATAAATGTTTCCATCAAGAGATTAATACATAGAGCAGTGGTTCTCAACCTTCTGGCCCTTTAAATACAGTTCCTCATTTTGTGACCCCCAACCATAAAATTATTTTCGTTGCTACTTCATAACTGTAATTTTGCTACTGTTATAAATCGTAATGTAAATGTCTGATATGCAGGATGGTCTTAGGCGACCCCTGTGAAAGGGTCGTTTGACCCCCAAAGGGATCTCGACCCACAGGTTGAGAACCGCTGACATAGAGGATTACTGTGCCAATAGTTGATAACTTAAAACTGATAGTTACTGTCAGGTTGCCTTACAAAGAGTGTATGATAGAGACCTCTTTCTCAAAGGTCTCACTGAACAGGCATATATAAGAAAAAAAAAAGATTGACGATATCCAAACTGATGGATGAAAACTGCTGCCTCATTTTTATTTATATCTTGGCCTCTGACAAAGTGTGGAAAACTTACCTGACTTCACATACATTTACTTTCCCCCATTTATAATACAATTGTCTTAAATAATTCCTCCAGCCTGGCTGAGTGTGGCTCAGTGGTTGAGCATCGACCTATGAACCAGGAGGTTACTGTTTGATTCCCGGTCAGGGCACAAGCCCAGGTTGTGGGATTGATCCCCAGTGGGGGGTGTGCAGGAGGCAGCCAATCAATGATTCTCTCTCATCATTGATGTTTCTATCTCTCTCTCCCTCTCCTTTCCTCGCTGAAATCAATAAAAATATATTTAAAAATATTTCCTCCACATATTTAGAATCATATTCGACAGTGCTATAATTTCTGCTTTAACTGTTTAACATCATTTTAAAAATTCAATAAGAAAAGGAAAATATATTTCCCATATTTTTACTCTTTTGGTTGTTCTTTTTTCTTTTCTGGTGTTCCAAAATTTCATTGCTTATCATTTCCTTGTTTGTTTAAAGAACTTTCTTAGCCATTCTCATAGAGCAGGTACGCTGGTAACAAGTTCTTTCAGTTTTCCTTCATCTGAGAACACCTTGATTTCCCCTTCATTCTTAAAGGATATTTTTGCTGGATAACACATTCTCTTGTGATAGCTCTTTCCTTTCAGCACTTGAAATATATGTTGTGATTCTTTCTCCTGGTGCGTTTAGGTTGCTATAAAAAAATCTGCCATGCCCTGGCCGTCATGGCTCAGTGGTTATAGTGTCCACCTGGCACACTAGGGGTCTCAGGTTTAATTCTCAGTCAGGCACATGCATGGGTTGATTCCCAGTAGGGGGCATGCAGGAGGCAGCTGACTGGATGTTTCTTTCTATCCTTCTCCCTTCCTCTCTCTAAAATAACAAAAACACATTTTTAAAAAGCTACATAAAAATACAATCAATAACATTATAGCTAAATTAGAATGGAATTTAAAAATATAAATGTAGTAATCCACAGGTAAGCAGGAAAAAGAAAACAGAAAAAAAAAGCCAGAGCAATAATGCATACATTAGAACAGGGGGAAATTTTCAAATCACTAATCTCAGGTTCCACCTCAAGAACTAGAAAAACAGAGTAAAATAAACCCAAAGCAAATAGATGGAAAATAGAATAAAAACAATAGCAGAAACCAATGACATTAAAATCAGCTAAGTAAGGAATGTCAATGAAACAAAGATCTAGTTTTTTTTAAAAAGACCTATAAAATTGACAAACCTCTTGTAAGAATGACAAAGACAAAAAGAAGACACGAGAGTAAAATCATAAGCAATCTTACCAATGAATATGGAAACAAAAATCTTAAAATAAAACATTAGTAAAGTATTATATAAATTCTATGTACTTTTATATACACACACATATAACGCAAGTAGGAATGTGTTTGAAAACACATACACAAAGCTGTGTTTGCACAAAGATTTATAAATAAAAACCCTAGCCATGAATTGATCAATTAAAATAAAAAACAAATAATCTCAATAGGTGTAAAACACTTTTGATACAATTCATATCCCCTTTTCAATTTAAATAGAAATTAAACAAACTAAAAATAAATGGATACTCTTAACCTTAACTTAATCTTCAGAAAAATACTATCTCACAAAAATTATAATATTATCTTTAATGGTGAAATGAAAGAGCTATTCCCTTTAAAATCAGAATGAGACAAAAATGTCCATTATTTAAAAAACAAAAGAAGAAAAAAACCCCAAAATGGCTATATAGATTCTTCTTGACTTTACATGTTTACTTGGACACCTCCTGATGTGTTCCATAAGCACTTGAGATAAAGATTAGCTACTGATGATATGTATTCTCTGTACCACTATTCAGTTTCTTGGGAGGAGACTGAAGGTGGGAGGGTGGTGGAGCTGGAGTGTCCTTTCCTCAGCCTGGGAGCTTCCTCTCTGAATTTGTTAAGACTACTGCGTCTGGGGCTGATTCAGCCAGCTGGCAATGTTGAGCTGCTCTGTGGAGGGAAGTCTTTAGATTTCATTCAGATCATTTCCCCTAATTCAGGGTCAATCAGCCACTTTGGCAAGAAATGAGATTAGCATGATCCCCTGTGGTTCATGGTCCTTTGGTTTTGTGGGTTAGCAGGTTTCTGTTGACTACACATTCATCTCCAGTCTATAGCTTGCCTTTAGACCTCATCCCTTCCTTGTTAGAAAACTGTCAGAGGAGTGAAGAAAGGGCATGGCAGGGCACAGTTCGCTGGCTTCTTCAATTCTGCTGCCTCAGCTGAGGTGGAGGAAAAAGGCTCCCAATAATTGTTTCTGTCCTTCCCCAGCCCTCTCATGACTTTAGCCCTGAGTCCTAATATCAGATGGATTTTATATGGCGGGCTCCTCAGAATCTCTTCCAACTGCAACACTGCTTCATGCCCCAAGACTGGAGAGCTTAGGGCTGGTCCAAATTGTGTCACATCAGCCGACACTCTGAATTTTGTATGAAAGTAGAGCCTTAGCATCAGTGTAGATGATTCTCTTTTTATGCTTTTGTTCACTTCCTATGTGTTTTGCCTGCCATTTGTTTAAAGAAGGAAAAACTGAAAAACGTATTGAAAAATAAGAAAACTCCTTTGGAGTATCAGGTTTATAGGAGAAATTGCTTTTAAAAAATTAATCATTTCTGCCTTCTGATATCTTATGCTCTTACAAATTCACACATTCGAGCACCTATCATATGCAAGACACTAGAATACAAGTTTTAAAGACTCATTTTCTGTCCTGAACGATATTATAGTTAGGTGGGGGAAGCAGATGAGTACACCAATGGTCACACAAAAGAAGCTCAACAGAAAAACTTTCAAGTTAGGAAATGTCATAGTTATTGGCCAAAGCAAAAATTCATCAAACTCTGCCCATCAATAACAGTATCACTTTGGATGCAACAAAAAGGACAAGCACACAGCCTTTTGGAAGCCAGCATGGTGGCTGGCAGAAGGTGTAGGGGATACAGAGGAGAAACATCTACATCTGCAAGGTCCTCTCTGGCCAACCAGCAAGTCCCGACAAGTCATGCAAGGGTAAGAACAACTCACAACAAACAGGTTGGACTAAGGATTTTCCTGCAGACCTACAGGAAGAAAGACAGATTATATAAGGGAGAGGGCACACGTGGAGATGCTAAATCTATTTCATTAGTTCTTCTGTTTTTTTCAGATGCCACTCAACATCCACTAACCACTAAAAAAACCAATTCATCAGGAAACTGAGACAGCAAAGTAGGTGACACAAGGAGATCCAGCTGTTAAGAGAAACAGGATTTCAAATCTGATCTGAGGTTTGCTCTGGCTCTGACTAGGTTGGTGGCAGGTGGACCTGTGGGATCCACGGTGCCCCCGAATACTCTCTCGAAAACCACAGGTGAGAAGTCATTCAACATCCTTCCCATCCTGGAGCCTTCAGAAAGCAGCCTTGGGGGCACTGATTAAGGAAAAAAATCTGAAGTCAGATTTGTTTATTAGAATGCTGGCAGTCGATTGTCCTATTATCAAAGAAAACATTTCTCAGGGGACAGAACAGTTTGCTGTGAGTCACATACCTGTATTTTGACCACATGCTCTTCTTGTTCATACAAAAATGATTTCCTAGCTTCAAACTCTTTCCTAAGGAGGGCTCCTGAGCGTGTGTGTTGAAGGCGAAGGAGGAAATCCTCGGGAGCAGACCACATCTTCTCACGAATGTAACCTGTTGTGACTTCCTCAACAATGTCCTGGCAAGAGACATTTCTTATGGTTACTCCTCACACATCAAGTGAAAGCAGCATACAGAACAGCTGCTGGAAATTTTATGTTTCAGAAAATGATATGGATAGCTCTTTCTGGCTTGGTTTACAAACAGATCAGACCAGAGCCAAGGGATGAGCTGGCTTAGCTTCCTTCTAGCAACATGATTTTGGAATCCTCTAAATGTTGTGTTGAGTTGGCATGAGAACGTGGTTGAATGATCGCAGGATTCGGAGGTGGAGAGGTACCGATGACGCTGGCCCTTGCTAGGTGTGAGGCTGAGCTCCACAGAGTAGAAAAGGGACAAGGAAGGTTACAGTAAGCACATGCACCTCTCCTCTCTCCCTCAAGCTGCCAAGGAAAGGACTGCAGTGCCCATGAGGTCCGTAGGTTTCTCTGCTGCCTTTCTCCACCAGGACAGAGAAGACAGACCCTTGCAATGACTTGAGGAAATCTCAAATTTGAGGGAAAATAAAAGACTGGGTGTCAGAAGGAAAAACAAGCCCCATATGGGCAGATAGGAAAAACCTAGATGAATGAGAAAAAAGGAAGAAGGAGGAAGATGAGAAGTCTTTATGTGGACTGTGACTGGCTGTACTTTTATGTTCTCTGAGAGACGCAAGCAGAGACTGGACTCACTTCTATGGCTGATGCCTCTTATTCAGTGTGATTGAAATCAATGGGTGCTTAATTTAAAATAATTGAAAGTGAAATCATATAAAAGATGCAGAAATACCTTTAAGGGAAGACATATATGCACACTGATTGAATAAAATGAGTAATTCTAGATTGTGTAGAAGAAATAAAATGTATGGTGTAGGCCCTCATTTTTTAATAATCCTAACAGACTGATGCTCAGTTTCACAAAGGTAAGCCCAGGGTGTCTCTGGATGCCACATGTCCAGTTTTCAGCTCTGAATTTTAACCCTTCGATGCTGCTTCTTCACAGTTCGATACATCTTCTCATTTATAGCATATGGATTTTAAATATTGCCCACAATTTATTTCCCCCCCCAACAAAGTAGCACTAGTAATTCACTGCCACAATGCCATTTTCCTGTAAATTGTGGGGAACTTTGAACATTTGAAATCAGTTAATAAACTATGTTCTTCACTATCTTCTTGTCAGTCAGGATTTCTGGTGGCCTCAGGCCACAGTCTTCTCTGAGTTTTAGTAAATACAGTACTGGTGATCCTGTCCATAGTACTGCTATATCTTTGGTGCTGTGACTTTGAACAATTCTGTAAGCTCTACATTTGTGAGATCTACTTATGTTTTCAAAATGGAGCTCAATTATTCTCAGTATTTTTCTCTTTAAATATATTACAATGCCTGGCTCAAACCAGCAATTTTCACATCTTTTAGGTACAGCTTTTGTTCTCAAGTCCAAAGTAATCTTGGTGAACATTCCTTCAAGAGTATTTCCCTCCAGGAACCATCACTCACTTTTTAAAGGATCTTACATAGCTGTGTTGTAGGCTGAGAGGGGGAAAGAAATGACATTTGAACACTGACAACCAAGGAATTATCCCTAATTGAACGTTCATGTCAAGGAGCACGTGAAGATTGATTGATTATAAGCCACGAATGCTTTGCTTGATGGTGTTATGCCAACATGGAAAAAATTCTTAAAGTTATTAACCACGCTGCCACTTCCACCTGTAGTTCACAAAGACTTTGCTCTACATCCAGCCTTCAAATAAATCAATTAGTTCCTCCCACCACGTCCATGATTAAAAAATAGAAATACAAATCACACTTATCTTTATACAGTCTAGTTTTACATCAAACAATAACATCCTACCTTAATTTCTTTTTCCATGAGCCATGATTCTTTACACAAGCAAGGTTTCGGAGTGACCCAGGAACTCTCTTTTGAGTCGACATTGTAGTAGTAATCATATTTCTCCTGCAGGGTAAGTTTGAGCCATGGACCTTCAGTAGACACTAAAGGAAAAAGTGTGTTACATTCTAGAGAGGAACACGGAACACCGTCAGCTTTTTAATGTTGTTTCTTCAATGTGTAATGTAACCTAATGAAGATGCTTTCCATCAAGCATTCAGAGAGTCAAAGTTAAAACCATTAGAAACGACTCACTAAAACGATGAGTCGTTATGTGCTTTAGTAGCAGCTCTCTGCTAAGCCAAGATGAAGGAAAGACTGATGTCTAATGTCAGATTTGGATCCCAAGCTTTTCATGAGGATGGTGGGAGTCACAAATGGCCAACAAGAAGGATAAGCGAACCAGGAATGCATCTCAGGTAAATGTGAACAGCATCACAGCAGACAGAGGAGGCCCATGAGCAAGAAAGCCTCCCACAACTTTTGAGAAGTGACTGGCCCATTATTGAAGAAGGCCAGTGATCTGCATTAAACCAAAGCAGCAGTGACTCATCTTTGCTGACAACTCATCCAAGGTACACAATGGCATATGGAAAGTCACTAAGCAGGGAGAAGGAAAATTCTGGTTCCTCTGACTCGCTTTGCTCTATACAACCACACAAAACAAGGGAAAAATGTTGGAAGAACTTAACTTGGGGGTAGGAGTGTACTAGGAAAAAAGCTATGGCAGTCATGGCTTAACTTGGTCAAGAAGGATATCTCCTCTTCACCAATCCATGGGCTACCCTTTCTATTTAGAAATCTGTTTATTTTAATGAAAGGTCATGCTTCCTGTCCCAGACCAGAGAGCTAAAAACAACAATAAAAATAAAAAATCTCTGACCTAGACCAAGCTAAACCAACTGCGGCCAAGTGAACATTAGACTAAGCAGAGGTAACGTTAAGGCCCTTTATTATGTGTTGATTCTTAATTTGGCTTTCAGTGGCCCTCAACTGTTCTAAGTGACCCTTAACTGTTCTATGTGTCAATACTCAGCAAGAGAGACGTGTCTCTTTTCAAATGGACAGTCAGACAGCTGTTGTCTGTTTAGAAGTACTGGTGTCCTCAAAAACATATTGTACAGTCAAATTAGGATGATCACAAGTAATTATTTTTTCAATTACCAGTAGCTGTCAGATCCACAAATGCTTTTCAAGGCAACTCTCTCATTGAGAAGGAAAGAAGGAGTGAAAGTGGTAAAAACAAACGAACACACCCAGATATATTCTCTTATTTGCATAAGAAGTGAGAAGTAAAAAAGGCCTTAGTTGGCATTAGAAGACTTGATTTGGGTTGGGATGGTCTCAGTGGATAATAGGAAAAGAGAATTGTTATCATTTTCAAATTAAGTTTGAATTTACAGTCAGAGAAGAGGCAGAAGAGGGTGTCTCCAGTCCATGGTCCAAGTATTTTTCCTAAGAAATGTAGTTGGCTTGTTACTAAGAGAAAAGACTAATTATGAACCTTGGAGAAAACCATAAAAAAGAAAGATTCCAGTTAGTTAAGAGGTGGCAGCAATCTAAAAGGAAGTATACTTTCTAGATGCCTTCTAGACCAAAATTATACTTCTATATAAGAGCTAAACTGAGTTATAAGGCTCGGTGTTCCACTTAGGAGTGGTCACTTCAGTTTGGGAAAGAACATACATCCTAGAACCAGAGGTGAAAGAGATTAAGAATCACCCTGATCACCCCAGATCCAAACAATGTTCATAGGTTTATCTGGTGTTGAAAGTCAGTCTTCAATTGCCTAGAAAGTGTCTCCTCGTCCTTCTAGAACAGGAGTTGGAAAACTTTTCCTATACAGGGCCAGAGAGTAAATATTTTCAGCTTTGTGGGTTCTAGGTCTCTGATACTGGCCAACCCTGCCACTGCAGCATAAGAGCTGCCATAGAAAATACAGAAAGCAATGAGGGTGGCTGGGTTCCGGGAAAACTTGATTTACAGACAGGTGGTGGCCAAGGAATCCACTAAAAAATTATTAGAATAAATGAGTTCAGCAAGGTTGTGTAAGATCAAAATACAAAAATCAACTGTATGAAAATGTGTCCATGTAAAACTGTGTACACCAATGTTCTCAGAAGCATTCTTCAGAATAGCCAAAAGTGGGAGGTGAAAAATCCAAATTCCATTCATCGATGAATGGATAAACAAAATGTTGCATATCCTATACAATGGAATATTATCAGCCACAAAAAGGAATGAAGAACTGATATATGTTACAACATGGATAAGCTTTGAAAACAGTATGATAAGTGAAAGAAACCAGACACAGTATGATTCCATTTATATAAAATGTCCAGAACAAGCAAAACCATAGAGATAAAAAGTAGACTAGTGATTGTCTGGGGCTGAAGGGTGGGGATCAATGGCTAATAGACATAATAGACATGAGGGGGGGGGGGTTTACTGTAATGAAAATGTTCTGGAATTAACTAGTGGTGTTGGCTATACAAGTTTATGAATATAAAAGCCTCTGAAGTGCACACCTTAAAACTGAATTTTATAGTATGTAAATTATATCGCAATAAAAAAATCATTGTATTTCTATATAGTAGTAGTAAGCAACTCCAAAATGAAATTAAGAAAAACATTTATAATAGCATCAACATAATTAAATATATAGGGATAGGAATAAATTTAACAAAAGAAATGCAAGCCTTATACAACACTGAAAACTACAAAACATTGTTGAAAGACTTAAAGAAGACCTAATGTAAAGAAGAGACATTGCATGTACCTGGATCAGAAGACTTAGTATTGTTAAGATGGTAATACTCCTCAAACTGATTTACAGGTTTAACGCAATCCCTAACAAAGTCTTCAGAACTTTTTAAAATTGTTTTGGGGAAAAAAATGAATCCGAGGTTTTTGAACTGGATACCGTGGGATATTCTGACTCCATTCACCAAAACACAGCAATAGGAAGAGAAAGAGGCAAGTTTAAGGGAGAGAGGATAAACTGATTTGGGGCCAGGATGGATTGAAATTATGATAGGTCATTTCTAGGAACTCAACCCCTGAATTAACAATGTTGTGCAGTTCTTTCCCATGGAGGATAAGGTAGGGGACACTACGGTAACTCCTGATGCAGAGATGTGAAAGGAAGAGAGGGGCTCAAAAGTGACTAGATGCTACGAGAGTAGCCAATAGCCTTCCTCATATCTCATTAATAGGAAATTTGCTGAATTGGAGGGTCTAATCTGCAACTGGAAAAATATCAAACTTTAAAAAGTACACTAATGAACAAAATAAACCGATGAACAGAATAGATCCAGAGACATAAAAGCATGCAAAAGACAGATGAATCTCAAAGGGAAGGGGTGGGGGGCGGGAAAAGATTAAGCAAAGAACTTATATGAATATAAGCATAACCCATGGACACAGACAATAGTGTGGTAGGCCTGAGGTGGGTGCGGGGTAAAGGGGAGGTCAATGGATAAAAAAAGGAGGATATCTGTAATACTTTCAACAATAAAGAGAAATTTAAAAAAATTAATTTAAAAAGGAGAGAGAAAACATACATGATAGAAAAAAATAAAATTAAAGTCTTCAATCTTGAACCTTAAAATAATAAAGTAAGTACATAGGATACTACTGAACAGACTTTCAGTTGAACTAAAAACATGTTTTCCCGCCCTAACTGGTTTGGCTCAGTGGATAGAGTGTCGGCCTGCGGACTGAAAGGTCCCAGGTTCGATTCTGGTCAAGGGCATGTACCTTGGTTGCGGGCACATCCCCAGTTGGGGGTGTGCAGGAGGCAGCTGATCGATGTTTCTCTCTCATCGATGTTTCTAACTCTCCATCCCTCTCCCTTACTCTCTTTAAAAAATCAATAAAATATATTAAAAACAAAAAAACAAACAAAACATGTTTTCCCCTCAAGTTCCACAGTGGTTTCCTAAAGGTGAAAAGTACTATATACCTGACCTATAAGCTGTGGTGCAAATAAACACCAGCTACAGCCAGGAGTTACCTGGATCCTGGATACAGAGGTGCTCAGTAAAAAGCTACTAAAGAAATGACAGATTAACTCTCCAAAATTTATCTCCTTGGTTTTGTCATTTTCTCCTTCTGTCCAAGATGTCATGAATATGAGTTCCTAAATCTGAATATTAAACTCATGCTCTCAAAAATACTTTCCAGAGCTAACATTTCATGATCTGCCATTGGCTTGAACAGGCATAAATATCTGCCAAGGTTATTGATCTAATCCCTTAGAGACCAATTCACTGCGCTTTATTCCATATTTTCAAAATTACTCTTTACCCCTACTAAATATTGTGCAATCATCTATCACTTGTGTCAAAAAGGATAGAGAGAAACATTAGTGCAAAACATCAGTTTTTACCACTGGAGGAATGAATCAACAAGCGAGACCTACATAAAGTCTCCTTGAATACTGTACTTTCTCAAGTCTATGATGCCACCATGTATAGCCACCAAGTTAATCACAGCTTTCTAAAACACAAAAAGGAAAAGAAACATCTAAATAATTCCCTTTGCCATAGATGATAAAAATCATTTTAGAAATGTCAGTTTGAAAGCAATATTTGTCTTAAAATTAAGAAAATACAATACCACAGAAACTGTCATAATCAAGATGATATTCAGCTTGTGCTAAATGACAAAAATGCTTACCACTTTTCGATTTTTGCTCTTTTGCCTTCGTAAGGGCATCATAGTAGCTGTCAGCACATTCGGGGATTACATCATTTGTGTTACCAATAGAAGACTTCAAAACAGACAAAATATCACTTTTCTTTTCTTTCTCCAAACACTGATTAACATCAACGACCAGTGTAACCCCTGGATAATAATAAAAAAGTGTTTCTGTTAAAGTTTATCTTCTATTTACCCTGCAGGCATGTAAAGCTATAATTCAACTTTTTAGGAATACACTGGTATCAAACCTTATTACCCTTTGAGAGTATGAACCACATAAAGCCAAGAGACAGTCACCAATTCACCCACCAGTCTAGGCTGTGAGAGTAAGATCCCGGCCCGGCTGGCATGGCTCAGTGGTAGAGCATCAACCTATGAACCAGGAGGTCATGGTTCGATTCCCCATCAGGGCACATACCTGAGTTGCGGGTTTGATCCCCGTGTGGGAGGCAACTGATCAATGTTTCTCCCTCACATCAATTATTTCTCTCTTTCCCTTCCCTTCTCTCTGAAAATCAATGAACATGTCCTAGGTGAAGATTAAAAAAAAAAAAAAAGATCCCATAGAAGCATGATTTATTAAAAATCACAGCATCTCCTGGTTACTCGTGTGTAGTAGCAAGGCCCTCATTTTGTTCACTGTGATAATCTTTGAAATTGGGTTAATGCATAACAATAGACACATGTCATTAATTGGTATTTGAGAACTAGCTTTATGAAGACATTTATTTATTTCAGAGCAAGTAAAATTCAATTTAAGCTTTGGAAATTCTGATATTCTTCTGTATAGTGCAAGTATACTTCCAAGATTGTCATTAGCAACCAAAAAAAAAAAAAATGTTCTAGAGCGGCAACAGGCACAGCTAGTGAATATATGCAATGGAGTCTAGAAACTTAATTCTGAAACCAATTTAGACCTATCAAGCATTTTATCACATTTCAAATTTCTGCCTCTTCCTTAAATAAAACCACACTGAACTCTGGGTTGCCTGAAGAAAATTGGCATGGTGAATTCTTAAATTTTTTTTAAATGTATTGATTTTATATAGAGAGATAAATGGAGAGAGAAGAAGGGAGAGAGAAACATTGATTTGTTGCTCCACTTATTGATGAATTCATTGGTTGCTTCTTCTATGTGCCCTGACCAGAGATCAAACCCACAACCTTGGTGTTAGGACAATGAATTTACCATGTTGCTCTGGCTGGATAGTTATTGACCTATCCGGCCAGAGCAACATGGTAGATTCTTTATTATCCACTTTAGTTCCAGATAAGAATATTCTGTATGCTAAGCCAAATAAGCCAATAAGAGAAAGATAAGTATCACATGCTCTCACTCATATGTGGAATCTAATGAACAAAATAAACTGATGAACAAAATAGGTCCAGAGACATAGAAGTATGGAACAAACTGATGAATTTCAGAGGGAAGGTGGGGAGTAATTAACTTGGGAACTTGCATGTATGAATAACCCATGAACACAGACTATAGAGTGATGAAGGCTTGGGAGGGGCGGATGTGGAGTGGAGGGGATCAATGGGAAAAACAAACAAAGGGGACATCTGTAATACTTTCAACAATAAAGATTAAATATTCTGGCTGCACCAAATGGACTATTATTTTCACAACCTGTAAATGCAGTGAGTTCGAAATGTAGAACATTTCTTCTACAAATGGAAGAAACCGATTTAAAATACTTTTAGATGAAAAATGATCTTGATGAAAAGAGAAGAGAGAGAGATGTTTTCTTTTATTTTTTAAAACACACACACATCAAGCTCTACCATACAAATGCTAAATGGTATACTGTTATCAAATTATGTACACATGTGCATAGAACTAAAAAGGCTGACAGGGCAAGAAAAACAGAGTTTGACTTGTAGCAGCCTGGAGTCAAAATCATGGAAATCTGGAGGAGCATGGAAAAAATTAAGGAGACCTTCTGTGGCAGACTCCAACTGTTGCCGAACAAAAGGTATAGCAATATGTTCCTGTGCTGGAGTTAACAGGAATGGGGGAGCTGCCCCCCTCTCCTCTCCTCTAGCAAGTCTTTGTAGGATGAGAAAAATGCAGTACTAGTGTCTGAGAAGTTTGTGGTCTAAGAGCAGCAGACAGAACAAGTAAATGTCAAAGAATTGTTACATGAATTACATCTGATAGTTTCATCCAACCTAGTAACATGCTGTTTTCCTTGAAAGATGGGTGTTAAAGTCATACATTTCTTGCATATAGTAATGCGCTTTATTATTGAGTATTTATGTTCAAGGAGTAGGTCCATAGTTTAACTTTCCAGCTAACTGAAGCTTACTTTTAATCTTAACAGAACCATTTTCCATGAAAATCTAAAGCCCTGGAGACAACCCTAACAGAACAGTCTCTACACGGCTCATCATTTTACCCACAGTCTCTGGTACACAAAAGGTGCTTAATGTTTGCTGAGAGCTGCCAGAAGAGTCCCTCATGTCATTACAATTGTATGGTACTATAATACAGGGAGGGATACTTTCAAGCACTACAGAGGTATCTGGGCTTCTTTGCTCCTGCACCAAATGGCCTCAAATTCCCATGCTTTTTAGTTTTTCCCTTATCGTCACTGTCAGCTATCACTTCTCACTGTTGTGTGCCTGCAGAGGGCAGCTCCAATACTTAACTGTTTGGTAATTAATTCATGGCTTCTGATGTGCTTGGAGGTGGGAAGAGAAACAACCAAGCATATCAGCATTATGTCTGAGATAAGAATAAACAGGCTCAAAGTGTGTGTCCAAGAGGTCCCCAATGAGTAGAGTAAATCAGTTCCAGGACACAGGCTTCTTGATATCTATTCTGATTGCCTTTTGGCTTAATCTGTGGGTTGTGGTTAAATTCCAGATAGCTAAGGATGTCAGGTAAAGGATCTCCATTACGTCAGGCATATTTCTACCAAGAAACAATTCAGAAACCTCCCACGAATCATGTAAGAAATCCAAAAACATGTTTGCTTTACATCTTATGCCATATACCAGCAGCCTTTCTCAAAAGAGAAGTGATATAACACCCAGTAGAACAAATACTGGTTCTTAGGGGAAGAAGGTAAAAAAAATATTTTTATGTATAAAGCACAGATCTACATATGGCATATAAACATATATACAATGTATCTGTGGTATTACCATTTCATGGTGAGAAAAAAAATTTCATGGTGAGGTCCAATTAGAGAAACCAATGTCTAGAAAGATTCCTTAGGGTGCAATGGAAAAGGTAGTCAAAAGTAGAGAAACCTACTTTAAGAAAGGAAGGTGCTCAGTGAACATGAACACTGGGCCAAAATGAAGGAGACTTGAGTTCCTCTGCCCTTTTAGATCTTGCCCGTGGCAAAGTATATAAGCCAACACATTTTCTTTGATCAAATTATCTGGGAGTGGGGTTGATGCTTATAACATGTGACCAGAATCTGTTTCAAGTCTTCATACAAAGGCTGAAAAAATGCTTTTAAAAGTAAGATTAAATTCCTGTTAAGAAACTGGAAAATTCTCATCTCAGTGTCAGAATAGACAGCAGTTTTATCTTCAGAACATCTCTTTGTTGTCATATAACACAGAAGAAACTATATCAACTACTTTGAGGGACGGGACCGAGATAGAAGGTAGGATTTTAAATGTGCAAGTGCAGAGTACAAAACCATACATCTGAGGAAACCTCTTACTTTCATAGTCAATAAATAGAAACTCGAGTCTCATGTGAAAAACAGAATCAACATTTGCAGGCCAAATGTAAGAAGAACACAGAATAAAAGGAATAAAAGAGAAAAATTCTAGGCTACTTGAGTACCTGTATTATAATCCAATTTCTTGAAAGTCTTTCTTCAAACTACATTGCTTTCAGTTTTATATTTAAATCATTTATGTACACATCTCAATTTTGTTTTCTTTTTCTTAACAATTACAGTGCTTGAATAAAAAGACTTCAAAGATCCTAAGGCTATAAAAGTTCAGGTTGGGGAAATACACATATTTTTCCTGGCTAAGGAAATAAAAACCAGATGTTCCTCACTGATGCTTCCAAAGTTTAAAAGCCTATCTCTGGAGCAAGAGTAAGGCATCTCAATAGCAATCTATGACCTGATAACTCAGGATACATTCTAGCTATGCCATGAATGGACAGCTCAATGAACGAGCCTTTTAGGAATCTTATTTTATGTAGGCTGTTCATATATGTAGAGTGTTAGTATATCAATCTTGAAGCTATTTTAGATTGCCATGTGAATTTTCATCCTATTCCTCCATGAAACAGAGGCATAGCATAAAAAAATTGTTCTCATTTGAGCCAATGTGGGGATTCTGCCAGTTGCTGAGTATGTCCATTCCAGTTATACATCTGGACTTGGGGAAGAAATCCCAGGATGGGTTTGAGGACCCACTGGGCCCTGAGAGACGGACCTGAGCTGAAACTCATTGATCAGCTGGCCTCCATAAGCCACTACTCTGATCACAATGACATTTTAGGTCTCCTGGAATTAGTGTCACTTCAGGATTCAGTAATCCCCTGAAAAGTCTGATTATGTTTTTTCTCCCAGCACAACCACATGATAAAAGGCCATAGATCTCTTTGGGGAAAGCCTGGGAGAAAGATGAACAGGATAAGAATGTGTTAGTGTAACAGAGTTCTTCCTCAGGAGGACCCCGCCTTCCCTTTCCTCAGGGAGTTCTGGGTCTATAAACCGATTAAGGGGCCATGACTTCCTGTTTTTATCATCCAAGTTATACTTCTATTCACTTGACCTAGAACTCTTCTTCCGCTTAGACAAGTAAGAATTTAGTAGGCTGTCTATTTCATTCTAGGAGCACCATGTTCAAACAGCCAATTCCACAGGTCTCTGTGAGTTAGAGTGTTCTGATTACTGCGTTCACTCTGCTGTTCATTATAAATTACATCCATTTGTCTTTGGGTGATTAAGTGCTGCCACCCAGCTTCTGCCGGCCTCTCCATAATTGCATGAGCCAGTTCCTAAAAAGAAATCTCCCTTTCTCTCTCCATATATGTATGTGCAGTATAGATAGATGGTACATACAATACACTTTTCAGAGAAACAGAGCCATCTATCTATCTATCTATCTATCTATCTATCTATCTATCTATCTATCTATCTATCTTTGTAGTTGGTTTATTCCAGAGTAGTTCTTTCTCTGGAAAACCCTGACTAATACAATGAAAGGCCTAGAAGGGAGGACGAACATTTACATTTATTGAGCAAAAATGGGCTAGTTTTTTAAGATTAAGATAAAAAAGGACTTGACTGAACTATAAATTTGAAAATTTAGAAACTGCTCTCTGGGTTTTGTTTGGTTACATTCTCAGATTTTGCTGGAAAGAGCACCTAAGTCATTGAAAACAGTGCAACTAATGAATCCTATTGTTGTATACATATGTATTCAAGAACTCAAACTGGTAGAAGTCCAACCTTTTCAGAAATTAAAACTTATGCATTAAAAAATTATGAATAAAAATAAAAATTCAGAAGCATAAGCAGATACAAGCAAGGCAAGATGGGCCAGCAAAAGGAGGTGAGGGCTTACATTGTTTTGCTTTGTCCTTGTCCCTGTTGGCCTCATAGACTGCGTGTTGTATCTCATCCAGCCAAAGAATTTTAGAAGCAGGGTCCTGGGAATATTGACATAGAATAAAAGAAAAACATAGTGAATAATGATGAAACAGAGTAAATGCTTTTAAGGAACCAGTTTATTTAAATTTCCATAAGCTCTTATTCAGCAGCTACCAAGTTCTGCCAGTACACTCTACAAGCTACTAATGAAGTAGACCCAACACAACCACTTCTCCCTTCCCCTGCCACCCCTCTAGTTCAGTCCACCAGCATCTCAAAACTGAGCAGCTGCACTGGTCTCCTATTTGCTTTGCTGCTTTCAAGTTTGCCCTCCACCACAGCGGTCTTCTACAGAGAACCAGATCATCTCTTCAAAATGGACATCTCATGACAACACTCCTTGGCTTAAACTCCTCCAAAGGCTTTCCCCTGAAGTTGGGAGGAAACCAAACTCCCTTTCCACGGACTGTGGGGATTCAATGAACTGGCTTCACCTCACACTCCTCTACTCTCTATTCCAGACCTTCACACCAGCCTCCTTCAGATCACAACATTCTACCCCAGCAAACTGGCTATGATTCTTTCTTATCGTTTGGGCCTTAATCCAACTGCCACGCCCTCCAAAAAAGACTTCTCTGGCTACCCTCACCAAAAACTCTCTGCTCCAGTCACTCAGTAACTGTGGTTCCCAAGGCAGCCCAGAGTGCCATGGGATATTTTAAATTTGAGGGAAATACAATGATACCATCTATCAGATACAGAGACAAAAATAAAACAAACATTAAAAAATCAAACAAAAACAGTGGTTGCCCTCAAGGAGCTGATGGTTTAGTAGAAGAGACAGATATACAAAAAAAATAATTATAATACAATGTGATGAGGGCATTAGCTGTAGAAGCACAATCTAGAAATAGCCAAGATGGGATTAACATAGTAAGGGGGGGGGGGGGGTTGAGTTACAGGGGAAGAAAAGGCCAGGTAAAGAACAGCCTCAGAAACAGCGGTTCTCAACCTGTGGGTAGCGACCCCTTTGGGGGTCGAACAACCCTTTCACAGGGGTTGCCTAAGACCATCGGAAAACACATATTGAATATATAATTGCATACTGTTTTTGTGATTAATCACTATGCTTTAATTATGTTCAATTTGTAACAATGAAAATACATCCTGCATATCAGATATTTACATTATAATTCATAACAGTAGCAAAATTACAGTTATGAAGTAGCAACAAAAATAATTTTATGGTTGGGAGTCACCACACATGAGGAACTGTATTAAAGGGTCTCGGCATTAGGAAGGTTGAGAACCACTGCTCAGAAAGGAAGTGAGAGCAGCAATAAAAGGTATTGAATTACCTTTAATATTTTTTAATTTGGAGGTTGATTCTTATGCTCTTGCTACAAATTTAGTGCTGGCATCTTATTAACTGGGACTTCCAGATAGCAACTGTATTTTCTATAAACTTGTCTAAGATTGCAAGTAAAATTTTATCAGTAGAAATTAAATATTGTGGCGAAGGATGAGATGTTCCATTAAAAAAAGGGGGGGAACATTGCCTATGTGTAGAAATGAGCGTCATGCACTAAATCCTGAAGCAAGGCTGTGATGGAGAGAAGGCAGCTCATCAGAGCCGTGGAGAACCAGCTTCATCAATCAGGACTCAAGATGGCGAGAAGCAGGAAGGAGAAATAACATTCACCAGCTCCTCGGGCAGGCTTCAACCCTGCTTCTCTCAGACACTAACATGAGATAATGTAGGTGGAAGGGGTTCTGAAAATGAAACACAATCTTTTATTTCAATCCTGCAGTATCTGGGCTAACGGAGACTGCCGAGGAAGGCCTGGCGCCTGCTTCCCCAATCCTCTCTAGCTGGATCTGCCATATGGGAACCGTCAGCTGTTAGTAAGATTTCCCATTTCTTGGCAGAATGAATGGGGAAGATTCAAACAGGAAGTAAGATGGCAAGTTGAAGACTAGAGGAGGAATAAAGAGACAGGGGAACAAGAGCTATTTTTTTTTCTGTTTCTAAGACCAAAGGGAACCTATAAGGTACAGCCTAAAAACAAAGCTCCATACAAGTTCACTGAAGTATGTCTCAGGTTTTTTGTGTGGGTATTTACCAAATTCCTTCATAACTTATCAGTGTAACAGACAAACCATACAAACTTTTACCCAGATGAAAAGGAGTTATAATCCCACTTCAAAGCTGATGGTATTTGTTTTAAAAGCTAAACAGAAGAGAGACTTTGCAAATCAAATGAATTCAAGCCAACAGTTTAAATCATGTCTTCTTGAAATAAAGGTTGCTAGAGTTAAATGCAAAACCAAGAGTGAAAACCAAATCCTACCAATGGAACATCCTCTTTTTAATAGCTCTGTAGAAGATTGGAATTATTATATTTACAGGATGGCCATGGCTCCACCTCCAGCTAAACAGCCAGGTTCAGCATATGAGTTACAAATAGATTAAGACAAGTGAACAGAAACTAGGCCATCTGCATACATTCCTGAACCTAGGTGACTCCTAGAAAATTTGAAACAAAAAAAGTACTCTCTCCTCAATATTTTGTGGCCTTTTGGTTATTATTTCTACAATAAAATAGCATTCTATCTCAGTGTGTGTTATCATATGTTATAAAAACTGACTTAAAAATTTAAAAAAAAATTGATTTCAAAGAGAGGAAGGGAGTGGGAGAGAGGGAGAGAAACATCAATGATGAGAGAGAATCATTGATCGGCTGCCTCCTGCACATGCCCCCAACTGGGTATTGAGCCCACAACCCGGGCATGTGCCCTAACTTGGAATCGAACCATGACCTTCTTGTTCATGGGTCAATACTCAACCACTGAGCCACACCAGCCAATCTTAAAGACTTTTTTTCCTCCTCCACAGAGGTAATATTTATTATTTGTTAAAAGATCTTTTATGTAACATATATAGAGAACGCAAAATTGTACAAAGCACACTTTGGGGATTTCTACTACGAAATGCGTATATACTTCTGAAATCATATAGAGATATGTAAAGACTGATTTTTGATTGCAAAACTTGGTGGGGTGAAATTTATCAAGGTGTGAAAAGTTTGCGCAGATCAATTCCTTCTTAGCTTATCCTTCAAGCCTTTATGTTTCATGTGAAATTTGCATTTTTCTGATTCTTGCTGCATTTTATAGGCAATAGGCTGTTGGGTTGCCTGGCTTAGCATTTAACCTTAAGTTTTGTTAATTATAGAAAAAATCTGTTATAAGGCAGTATTGTTTCTAAATATTAAGTCATATCCTTCAGAATATAACTACTCATAAAAGCTTCTATGTTACACAACAATGTGACTACTGAGTGGTGTTCAATTTAATATGATAACACTTAAATAATGGTTAAGATGGTAAATTTTATATTATGTATATTTCATGACAATTTTAAAAAAATCAAAGCCTATTGTAGACCTGCTCACCAACACCCATGGAATAAAGGGAGTCCTCTGCATTTCAATGTATTATGATTTGTGTTTAATCAAATAGTGTGGTTTTACCCCCTTACTTTGACCCCCCCTCCCCCCACACACACATTATCTGACCCTAGTGAATGGCTCAGAATATGATGAGCTATGGCAAAAGTTCTGGCCAACCACTGATGACACATTCGGGTCATTGTGACATTGATGAAGAACTTTCAGAGTAATCGGCGCTTCGTCAATTTTAACTTCATAAAAAAAATGTTTGCTCTCCATAATGTACTTAATTTGTAATTACAGAATGAGTTTCAGAATTAAGATTTGAAATAGCTGGGAGGATAAAGAAAAGGATGATTTCTGAAAGCTAATCATTAAGTAGAAATCGCACTCTGGAAGCCCATTTTTAAAATGGATAAAAGGAGACAGGGGACAGCGTGAGAACTAACTGGTCGGCTGTATTTTCCGCTCACTTCTGTAAAGGACTGTACACGCTCTGCATTCTTTCAGTGCACATAAGCATGCGGGAGGGATTTACAGCACCCATGCAGAATGGACTACTAGGGGTGCGTGAGAGTTAAGTGTCACGTGCCCCAAGGCTCCCTCTGAGTCATAGGCACTGAAACCTGAGTGCTGTCACACCCCTTCCCTGAAGAGGTCCTGGGACTGGCGTTTCCTGCCTGCAGAGCACAGAAGCAGCTTCACAGAGCACAGCTCCCGTTTGCTGTTACCACATGGAACTGGGGTGAAACCGTGCTCCCTAATTTTATACATTGATAACATTTGGGAAACAGGATGCAGATGGTCAAAATGAAAGCTCTCATCTTTGTAGCTGCTGGAGCCATGCTTCTGTCACCCACATTCTGTCAAAGCGGTAAGCCCTTTTCTTATGGGGTCTGGGAGGGGGTGGGGGAGGGGTCTGGTCTCTACAATTAGTTCAATAGTGAATTTTCTTTGTGAGAAGTTTTTGATTTTCTAAGCATTTCCTCTGATTCAGCAAAGATAGCACTTTAAAAAAAATCCTATGTTTCTACTTTCTGGTGAGGCATAAAGGGGGAAAAAGAATATTCTCAGAGATCAAGTGGTCTGCTTTCAATAATCAACAAGGCCAATAAATTACTGTTTCTTAATAATATACCATTTTTTACTTTCAGTGGTATCAGAGAGTTATAGTTTTCCCTGCCCTCATATATGATTTTTAAATTTTAGAAATGAAATTTCCCGAATACTATTACTTAACTCTTAATGTTTTTCTATTTTATTCAACACCAGTTCAGGGTACATCTGCATCTACAACTCTTACCATTAGGTCACAATATAGTTAACATTGTTAGGAACAGGAGAGCTGGGCAGAGAAACAACAATGAGAGGGGAAACCCCAAAATTAAATAAAAACCCCAGACCTCTATTAAGGAATGTTGTTAACATTCACAGCTGGAATCACTGAGGTGGTTGTAGGAGAACCCTAAGAGAATTAATGGATGGTAGCATGTGTGGGTTTATGAATAGGATTAAGTGAATGCTCTTTCTAGGAGTGGATGAACCAAAATGCAGTGGAATCATAAAAGAAATGAGGCTTGTGGAGGTTCCTTCAAGATGCTGGTGGG